TTTAAAGCAAGTGCTAAGCAGGACAGCTCAGAAGTCCCATTTTTTTCAATGGGGTTTACTCCCAGGAAGTGTTCTGAGGATTTCTGACACTGCGTTAAGCAAAGCCGGCTGCATCTGCTCCCAGCTTTCAGCTCCACCATCCCATCATCTGTTTCCCCTTCATCTGCTGTGAGAAGCAGGATTGGCTGCACATCTGATACAGCAGGCAATGGAAGGGAAGGGGGGGGATAGATGATAGGATGGGTGAGCAAGAACACACTGCATCAGGAGATTTAAGCCATGTAAGGTTTGACAAGACTAGAAAGAAGTCAGAAATAAATATACACCAGCAAACTAATCTCTTCAACTCCAGTGACTAAACAGCACCGAAACAGTATTCTGCTGGCAAATAGTGAAATCATGGCTCAGTTCAGACAGAACACAAAATCATGGTTTACTTCGAACTATGGTTAGTCTGCAGGCAATCATTCAGTCCTTGATCAGAACAGAGGTCCATCAGTGGCTATTAACCACAAGGTATAGATAGGGGCTCTGGGGCAAGTGATGCTCTGTCTTCTTGGTGCTTGGGGAGGGGGGAGTCAACAGTGGGAGGGCTTCTACTGGTGGACCTCCTGATGGCACTGGTATTTCTGGCCACTGTGTGACACAGAGTGTTGGACGGGATGGGCCTTTGGCCTGATCCAACATTGGCGTCTCTTATGTTCTTATCAATGCACGTTTCATCACCTTTACTCTTTCTCCAACCATCCCACAGAGATCAGGCTGAGATCTAAGCCTGCCTTTGAATTGAGGACAGTACTAAGGAAAAAAGCCAGGAAGTCCATATTAGAGATAGGCACGAATTCGGAAAATGGGAGTTTCATCCTGATTTGTGGTTTGTGGGGTCTCATGAGGTTTGTCACATGATTAAATGCCCCCCATGGGCTACAGAGACCAAATTGCTGCATGTATCTAGCTGACCCTCTTCTACCTGCCCCCAAGTTTGGTGAGGATTGGCTGTGGGGTAGCTGAGTAGCAGCCCTTCAAAGCAGGTGCCCCCAGGAAAATGCTGACTGGGGAAATCACAGCTGCAGGTGCAGGAGTATGTTGAACAGACCCCTTGCAAGCTAGAGGCATCAAATGTACAGAGGAGCTCCCTGGGCTTCCCCTCTACCTCCCCTTCAAGTTTGGTGAGGATTAGTTGTGGGGGGTGAGTAACAGCAACCCAAAGCAGGTGTCCCCAGGAAAGTGCTCTCTGGGGAAATCACAGCCACAGGTTCAGGAGTGTGTTGAACAGACCGCCTGCAAGCCAGAGGCATCAAACTCAAAGAGGACCTTCCCGGGCTGCCCCTCTACCTGTCCTCCAAGTTTGGTGAGGATTGGCTGTGGGGGAGCTGAGTAGCGGCCCTTCAAAGCAGGTGCCCCCAGGAAAGTGCTCTCTGGGGAAATCACAGCCACAGGTTCAGGAGTGTGCCGAATGGACCCCCTGCATGCTAGAGGCATCACTCTCACAGCACACCTCCCCGTGATGCCCTTCTACCTGCTTTCCAAGTTTGGTGAGGATTGGCTGTAGGGGGGCTGAGTACCGCCTGCCTCCTCCTCATTGACATTGTTGCTGCACATGGGCAATCCTCCTTGGGCCCGGGAGGTGGTCACCCTCCCCCCACCCTCTGGTGACAGGGTTTTGGCGGGGCTGCCACACTCCCCCTTGTGCCTGAGAGGCAGTCACCCAGCTGTGGAGATGGACTGTAGGGGCAGCCAACCCTTCTCCTTGGGCCCGCCCGCCTCCCCTCGTGATAGCATTTGGGGGGATGGCCTGTGATACTCCCCCTTGTGCCTGGGAGGTGGTCACCCAGTTGTGGAGATGGATTCTGGGGGTGCCAACCCTCCTCTTCGAGCTCGAGAGGTGGTCACTCCCCTGCCTCCCTCTGGTAAAAGAGTTTTTTTTGGGGGGGGGCCTGCCACACTCCCCCTGTGCCTGGGAGGCAGTCACTTGTTTGTGAAGATGGGTTCTAGGTGTGACCAGCTCTTCCCCTCTGAACTGGGAAGCAGTCATTTGCCTGCCTTATCATTGTCAAGATGGCTGTTGTAGATGGGGAAAGCTTGGGTGCAATTAAACAAGCTCACTTGTGCAGGTGGAGTTTGATGAGGTAGAGCAGTGATGGCGAACCTTTTAGAGACCGAGTGCCCAAACTGCGGCCCAAAACCCACTTATTTATCGCAAAGTGTCAACATGGCAATTTAACCTGAATACTGAGGTTTTACTTTAAAAAAAACAACCCATACATTAACTTAAGATGATCCAAACAAAGTAAGGAAAGCAATCCCAAATGCTTTCATTTACTTAAAATTATTTGGCAGAGAATTCGACACTTTTATGATGGTCTGGGCCTAGCTGGGGCGATGGCACGCGTGCCCACAGAGAGGGCTCTGAGTGCCACCTCCGGCACCCGTGCCATAGGTTCGCCACCACTGAGGTAGAGGTTTGCATAGGTGGATGTCAGTCCATGAAATGAGTGTTGTGCTATGAGGTAGTTTTTGGTTCATGAAATGGGTGTTGTGCTATGAGGGTTTTGTATTAGGGAGGAGGCTGAAAGCACCAATTCCTGTTGGGACACAACTCATGAGGAGCAGGTGTTCACAAATCCCAGGGAGATGGAGTGTGGGTCCTCAGCCGAGGAACTCAGCACCTAAGACTCTATGCTTGGCGTTGGCAGAAGGAGAGGTGGTGGTGCAGGGCCCTGAGTCCACCAGACACCTATGGAGACGCAAAACCTTAAAAGATTGGGGGGGGGCTGGGTGCAAGGCTGGAAGTGATGATTCTTGGGGGGACAGATATGGTGAAGAGATGTGTGTGGACAAGGGGGCTGGAAGCGATGATTCTTGGTGGGACAGAAATAATGAGGAGGCAGATGTGGACACGGGGAGGCTGAAAGCGATGATTCTTGGAGGAAGAGAAATCATGAGGAGGCAGATATGGACAGGGAGGCTGGAAGCAACAATTCTTGGGGGAGGAGGAGGTGTTTACAAATCCCAATGGGGGTAGTGTGGTGGAGCAGCCCTTGAGCATGAGGGAGAAGGTCTTTTTAATGTGGAAACAGAGCCCTGGATGAGAGTGGCCACAGCCAGAATCCAACATCTACAATGGGGCGGCCGAGTGTGTGAAAAAGCAGCCCCTTGAACCAAAAGGATGACACACGACCAAGTCCTAAAGGTAGTCCCGGGAAAGAGTGGCAACACTCAGAATCCATCTCCCCAACAGGGTGGGCTAGTGAGTGGCAGAGCAGCCCTCAAGCTGAAAGGAGACCTGCCAAGTCCAAAACAGACTCCAAGAAGCAGCCCCAGACATGGAGGTGTATGTGGACAGGGGGAGACTGGAAGCATTGATTCTTAAGAGGACAGTAATCATGAGGAGGCAGACATTGACATGGGGAGGCTGGAAGCGATGATTCTTGGGGGGACAGATATAGTGAAATGTGGATGGGGAGGCTGGAAGCAACGATTTTGGGGGGGCAGAAATCGTGAAGAGGTGGATGTGGGGAAGGGGGGGGAGACAGGGGTCCTGGATCTTTAATCCACAAGGCCCAGAGAGGGGTAGCCCAGCAGAGCCATGTTGACCTTGAGGAAGGCCAACTCATCCATGGTGGGGGCTGAGGATGTCTCCTAGGTAGAAGAACACCCGCTCACTCTGGATACTGGTGGGAGGGCAGGAGAGGAGGTTCATGGCCACACAGGACAGGTCCATTTTTTTCCCTGAAGCTTTTTTGTTTTTTTCCGAAAAATTGGAAAAATTGAAAAAAGAAAAGAAAAGAAAAGAAATTGATTATGGAATGTTTTATTTTAACATGATAAATAAAATATTTTAAGACAAGGTGTTCAAATATTTTCCAAATCATTTCTAAAATATATAATGGTATCAGATTGATCTAATTTCTGTGCACTGAGGACAAGCAAGTCCTAGGTTACAAACTGAACTCTCCAATGCAAGAACAAGATGCATTTCTTCCTTTAGGAGGTGCGATTGTCAGAAGAAAATAAAAAGGTTTCAGTTTTGTTTTTGCATGTGGGTGGGTATTCTGTTTGTAATAATTGTTTGGGTACACTATATTTTTAATATGCTAGTTGTGATAATTTCATGCCAAGTAAAAATGTCCATAGTCATTTTTTATGTTCCTAAAGTAACAGAATGACTTTCAATCTAGAAAAGACAAAAGAAATGCTAATGTAGCATTTTTTTCAATTTTTCCGAAAATTTCCGGTTTCCCCCCGAAAAAAACCGGGGAAAAAACGGATTTTTTTCCGAGCTTCAAAATTTCCGGAAATTTTACATCTCTAGCTTTGCATGACCAGTACTCCAGAGGACTGTAGTCAGCAGGCTTGGGGGGCTCAGCAAGGTAGTCCCTCACCATCACCTCCGCTGAGTCCTCTGCCAGGGCACGACTGGCCTCCCCAATGCCACCGACATCCCAGCTCACCACTGAGGACCAGTACTGGGGATCCTCCCTGGTTGGACTCTTGGAGGTGCTGGGCTGCTCCTCCTCCTCCTCTTCTTCCCCCTTCAGGCCAGAAGCTTAGCCACTGTGGTATGGTGCTGGGCTGAGAGGACTGATGGAGGGGTGGACTAGAGATGGGAGCAGCCCCAAGGAGTTGGGATGTGGAGGTGTTTCCCCACCACCCCTTAATTCACTCTCAGAGGCCTCCTCCACAAACAGTTCTAGCAACTGCTCTGGTTTTGGCAGTGCTAATAGCTCTTCTTCCTTCAAGTCCATCCCCAAGAGCACAGTGAGCAACAGAGGTTCTGCCTCTGAAACCCCTGGTGACACCCTAGTACAGCTGGGCACTAGTGGGCTAGCAGGACAGGCTTGTTCCACAGGGACGGGGCCTGTGGGATCAGGGGTGGACTTCTTCCCCTGTGACAAGCCCTTCTGTCCACCACTCTCCCCCTCATGGCACGAAGGAGGTTAAATTACACTCTTAATTAGGTGGGAGGGTAGGTCCTCAGCCGAGGAACTCAGTGGCTGAGCCCCTCTGCCTGACTGTAGCAGAGGGACAGGTGGTGGGTCAGAGCCCTGAGCCTACCAGACACCACCCCAGCCAGGGACAGGTGTTCAAAACTCCCACTGAGGAGGACTATGTGGGTTCTCATCCAAGGAATCCACTGGATGCAATAAATAAATAAATTCTGCTTCCATAGAGCTAAATGGGAGCTCTCTTGTGGCAGCCAGAGCTGCCTGTCAAGCTTTGGAGGGCCACTATTGGTGTTTCCAGGGCTGCAGAAGCCCATCTCCCCCCCCCTGTTGCTTTGACAATTAATTCATCAGCACCAGCATGTCTGGCTTACAAACCGCTACCATGGTCCATGAACCGCACAAACCTCCATGAAAAACATGGTGGTTCATGGGAGACAAAATCTCACGAACCAAGGCTCACGAACCACAAATTGGGCAATGTTCGTGACAAAATTAGGTTTGTGATGAGGTTTGTGCCCATCCGTAGTCCATATCCATACCACATATGAAACCATACTTAAAAGATTTAACTATGGTTCATATGAATGGACACAAACTGAACCAAAACCCAAAATTCGTGACAAATTTTGCCCTGTTCGTGGTTTGAGAACAGCAGTTTATGACGGGTTCAACTTCCATGAACTTTTAGAGTGGTTCGTGGATGGAGCAGATAGTGTGGGTTTAATGGGACTTTGAGTCCATTTAAACCCCTGCTTTCTGTTCCCCACAAAGCCACAAAAACAGCTCAGCTGTTTCAGGCTGTCTTTGGCAGTCCCTTTAAACTTTAAAATGACTGCAGAAGGGAGCCCAAAAAACAGGTATGCATTGGGGTGGCGTTCCCGCCACACTGTTCGTTTGGGCTGTCTTCTGCAGTCCCCTAGACCTTTCGTGGTCTGCAGGACCACGAACCACAAACTGAACCGAACTGCATTTTCCCAGTTCGTGCCCATCCCTAATGGTTAGTAAATAGGCGTCAAACCATGGTTTCCGATTCAAGCCTGACAGACTCCAACTAATACCAGCACACAGAATCAACATTAACCATAGCTAGTTTAATGTAACTATGGTTTTGTGTGACATCTGAATGAAGACAATAGCTATAATACTAAGAAGAAAGACTGAAAAATTAGTGACAAAGCAAGAACTAGGACAGTGTATGATGAGAGGAAACATTAGCCAAAGAAGACAAGTTACTCTGCTATGCAAGTCACTGAGAAGGAAGAGAATCATTTTTTTGTTCCTAGCTGAGAATTTGCTCTTCCCAAGTGACCAGTCTTTCTTCTTTTTCTTCACTGCTCTCCTTGAATTTTATTCAGATTGTTTCTGTAGCTACAATGTAGCTATGAAGTGTAACCATTCTCTCATAGGTCCACATGTTTTGTAATGCCATATTCTTATCAACTGCGACTGAATGCTTCATAGACGTCGGTGAAGAAAGATTTGAAGAAAATTAACTGGCATGCAGATTAACCACAGATAAAAAGTGTAAGAAACTCTAAAGTTTTAAATTGCTGATTTCTACTGCAGCTGCAATCTGTGAATGGGACTTCAGTGCAAAATTTACTGTAGGCCACATATATTAAATTCCCTGATGAAGACGATGCATTTATAGTAATTCTCCAGTTGACTGTGGTATTCAGTGAAGAAAAAACACTACTGATCATGCAAACATTTTGACCATTTGCATTTTAAAAAAAATTGTCTTTCACCATGGAAAGACACCAAATTATAAGAAGAAGAGTTGGATTTATACTCTGCCCTTCACTTGGAGTGGCTTACAATCACCTTCCCGTCCTCTCCCCACAAAAGACACCCTGTGAGGTAGATGGGACTAAGAGAGCTCTGAGAGAACTGTGACTGACCCAAGGTCACCCAGCTGTATGACTACCTTCAAGCATGCGTTCAAATGGCAACTTAGCTTTGGATTACTGAAAAGCCGTAAGCAAGTAAATACATCAGCCTCAGCACCTTCTATGAAGTAATAATAAAACCTCAGAAACTGATGCAAGAATAAGTGAGGAATAAAAATGCTGACATTCATTTTGAAACCTGGAATAGCTTATAAATCAACATGAACAATAAACATGCCTCATCCTGGCCTTGAAGAGCTATAGGCTGGATCCGACAAACTACAAGCAAAATGTGCTCACAAAGACAAATCTTTCCTGCCTTCCGTTCCCCTGTGAGCCCCCAAAAGTTGATGTTTGGGGTTGGGGAGCCTTGTGGACAGAATGCCATGGGACATGGGAGCTGCAGTAAGAAGGGAAGACATTGGATTTACCTCCCTCTTCTGACAGCAAAGGAAGCTTGGAAGAGCAAACCTTCCACCCACACTATAGCAAGAGGGACAATGTTTCTCACTCTCCCTCCCCACTGCAGCCCTCCAATGCCACATGTCATTTTGTTCTGCTGATTGACAGTGTCACTTTTGGAGGGGGGGATAAAGGGGGATGCTATAGGAAAGGGAAAAGTGTGGAAGACCCGCCTCTGTGAGTTTTTTGCACTTGTTCATGTGAATGTGGTTAAAAGTGTTTAGCCGAGGCTTGCCAATTTAGAGTGTTTGTTGATCATGTAGAAGCCTTACTTTAGTGACAAAAAATGAATTGTTAATGGAATCTAGTTCTAGTTTCAATTGATATAATAAATGGTAGACTTTTGTTCAATATTCAATTATTCTATAATTTATTACGGACATGGACCAGCAGAATAATATAACATGGTTATAATAGTAATATATACTCAATCTTCCAGTCTTCAATATTGCAAATTAAAGATCATATGATGTAACTTATCAACACAGGGCTAGGAAAGTAGTTTGATGGTTACTCCCACATGCCAATCTTACAGGGCTCTTTTTATAGCAGGAACTCTTTTGCATATTAGGCGACACACCCCTAATGTAGTCAATCCTCCAAGAGCTTACAGAGCTCTTCTTACAAGGCCTACTGTAAGCTCTTGGAGGATTGGCTACATTAGGGGTGTGTCGCCTAATATGCGAAGGAGTTCCTGCAATAAAAAGAGCCCTGAATCTACTTGCAATGCTCAACTAACCTCAATTTTTCTGACATTTTCCCTTGGCACAGCAGTTACTAAACCTCACCTTAAATACTCAGCGAATGGAATGTTTGCTAAAAATACAGCTTGGCCACGCAGGGCAGGTCAGGCCAGAAGGCAGCCTTGCGTGACCAGTAGGTGGATCCTTGTGCTGGCAGAACATGCCCCGTTTGCCAGAGCAAAGCCTCCTTGCTCCAGAGGAGGCCTCTGCCATTAGTGGGATGGAGTTCTAAGATCTAGCTCCATGTACTGATTGTATTTCATGACTTCAGCCTTTCTTATTATGATGTTCCTTTGGTCATATATGTTGATTTACACGATTGATTAGCATGGGGAAAGTGCTTTGAATTACGCACACACACTTACTTGTATGTATGTATTAACAAAAAAAAACCACCTAGAAAGCAGAGGTGTATATCCCAAGTTAAATGGAGAAAAATCACATCAGTTTATATCGCCAATACCCACCTGGACCAAAGTGACTCTAAAATGCATCTACAAAGTGGAAGAAACAAGGTTTTTGCAGCTCCAAACCTATTAAGTGTAACAGCATCTCTACAGCATTTAGTACCTTTTCCAACATTCCTGGGAGGCAAGGGCGGTGCATTTGTGACAGAAGCCAGAGTCTGGGTGGGAGGAGGACTGCTGCTGAGTATAGCTCCATAGGTCTCGTTCTGCAAGAGGCTGGGCATGAAGCCCCTTTGCTTGTCCTTGGCTATGTTGGCAGCATCTCTTGCCAAAGATGCCACATTTGGCTGAAGTTGGCCAGATCCTAGCTGGTAGAAACTGACAGGCCTGTCCTCTCTTCGATTGGGGCTTGGTTGCTTTAAAAAAAAAAAAGAATGGAGAAAGAGAGAGACACACATGGGCATGTATTTCAAGCACTGAAAACACTTCTGACACAGACCAAAACCACAGAAATCCAACACACCATCAAATAAGACCACGTGGTGGATCCTGTGGATCCATTCCAGTAAAGGCAGGTGCCTTCCCCCAGTGCAAGGAGCCTTCCTTTGGTGTAAGACTAGGCTTGCCAGTTCCCAGGTTGGGGTGGGAGGTTCCCCCTATTTCTGGGGCTTCTCCCCACTGCCGGCCAGCTGGCTGGCGGGGGAACCCACCCCCAAACAGCCACATCCCCGGATGACGACATCATCCGGAAGTGACATCATCACGCTGGGGACATTGCGCGGGCACAGTCTGGTTTAAGGGCAAAACTCTATCATTTTAAGCTGGTTCTACCACAGAGTTTTGCCCTTAAACCAGAGCATCTCCACGCGACATCCCTGGCTTGATGATGTCACTTCTGGGTGATGTCATCATGTTGGAGACATCCTGGAATGCCCCCCAAATCCCCCCATCAGAGGGATGAAGGGACCTGGCAACTCAGTGTAAGTCACTCTTAGTGGAATAGATCTGCAAGATCCAACCCTATGTTCAGCCACTGAAGGCAGTATTTTAGGCAAATCTATCCCCAGTAAAGCCGTGCTTTACACATTGTCTGTGCATGTATTTCAAATGATGAGTTTGTGTTTAATTAGTCTGGAATAAAAGAAACAAATCTTCACTGGGGGTGTGGGGGGGAGGTATTTGTGAATTTCCTGCATTGTGTAGGGGGTTGGACTAGATGACCCTGGCGGTCCCTTCCAACTCTATGATTCTATGATTTTTAATAAAGATTCTCAGTAATAAAAGCAATTAATCAAAGCAAAACCACCATACCTCTCTATATGGAGAGGGAGTAAAACTAATTTTAAAAACCCAAACGTTATCATTGCGTAACCTTAGCATGCCCCCTTTCAAAAGAACTTTGGCTACTTTGCTTAAGAGGCTCACTTCAAAATGTAATGTTTTGCAGATTTAAAAAAATAAATAGAAAACTGTCCTTTTTGCTACAAAATTTAACAGGACCCAAGCCACATGCAGTAGCAACATTCAACTGTTCCTTCAGCATAACCAAGAGAATAGGGCTTAATCTTCTTTTCACAAGTCCCTGTAGCCTAGAAGCCTACTTATACAGGGTGAGTGGTGTAACACCTTTTTATTCTTAGCCTCACTACTGAGCACTGAGTATTGCAATATCATACAGTTTCCTGCTTAAACAGGTATCACTTGTCAGGCTTCTTCCCCAGAGGTGGAATACAGAGGAGTATAGGGAACACAGTTGCAGAATCTATTTTTTCTAAGGGCCAAACTATGGTTCAGACTGGCAGTTTGGCTCGATATATAGGCACATTTTACAAACGGATTAAATGGGTATGATCACATAGCCACATCGGTCAGGCATTCTGCGGACGTACTCACCCTGTCAGAGGACAACTTGGAGCTGGGTTAAAAGCCACCATCTCCGAAGTGGTGCTTTTGTTTCCCTGTGCATTCATTGCGCATGGCCGGATGTCTGAACACGGGGGAGTGCGTGCAGAACGGATTTGGCAGTGTGAACCTGCAGATCCATTCTGCCGCTACGGAGGCAGTTTTTAAAAAGAATTGCCTATGTGCAGATGCATGTGCACTACACACACACATGGTTTTTGGAATTTTTTTGCAGTTCGCTCCATGGCTGAGGCGCCACAATGTGGATGCTTTACCACGGGATGTCTCGGTGGGTAACCCACAGCAGGGTGTGTTGTGTGGCTGATATATCCCACTACACTTTAACCCGGTTCAATTAGAGGCGGCACCATATCGCGCCAAGCCGCCAGTGCGATCACAGTCTATATGTGACAATGGAAGCGAGCCCAACCTGTGGCCTCCAACACAATTTTAGAGAAAAATTAAGCCTTTTAAACATTGCCACAAGGCACGCTGTGGCAGCACCAGATGATTTAATTCCCCCACCCACACGCTTTTTCACGTGTCCCCACCCATACACACACACCATATAGCACCCATTCACTCTCAGAATAGGAGTGGAATACTAGTGTTGTAGAGCACTGATACAGGAGTAAATTACCGCCGTGCTGAGTATAAATATGACCACACACTTCTTGACCTTTGGCAAACAGAAAGAACAGTATTCAGAAATTAAAAATCCACTCACTAGCATGCAAATGTAGAGAGGTAATAAAAAGGGGGAAATTACACAATAGCTGCTTATAATATAAAAACAAACAGCCACAAATCTCTTCTGCTCAAAACACTACTCAATAGAAAGTAGCCATGTAATAGATGATCCAGCAAAAAATATAAAGATACTGTTAAGTACCCTTCTTGGTAAGTGCCCATTCCTGTCCCTGAAGTGTACTACAGGAGTAGAAAAGAGCAAGAGTCCAGGAGCACCTTAAAGACTAACAAAATTGGTGGCAGGGCATGAGCTTTCATCAGTCACTGCTCACTTCAGTGACTCATGAAAGCTCATACTCTGCTACAAATTGTGTTAGTCTTTAAGGTGCTACAGGACTCTTGCTCTTTTCTACTGCTACAGGCAGACTAACATGGGTCCTGGTCACATGGGCCGGAAAATGCCGGGTGGGGGGGAGCGTTGCTGTTCGCCCCGAAGCAAAGTAACGTGTGGCAGCCTGATCACATGTCCCGTCGAGGTCCCGTGGTTAGGCCGTTAGGTGCCGATCACACGGCTATCCTGCAACACGGCAAAGAAGCAGCGCGGCGCGATCACAAGGCAATCGCTAGGCACCGCTTCTGTGGCAAACGGGATTTTTTTTCCAAACTGAAGTTTGCGCATGCGCATGATTGTTTGTGTGCATCCTGTGCAGACTAAAAAAACCCCCACACATCTGCTGTTCGACGGGACATGGACAGGCGCCGGATGCTACGGGATTCAAGCGGAAACACGATCAGACGCCCGCCCTTGCCTCGCATTTTCCAGAAACTAGTATATCGTATGTGGTAGTTTTTTACTCCGCATCTTCGGCGAGAAGCCACGGGTTAGTCACAGGTATACTACGCTTCCCAGATGTTGCGGTGTGATCGCGCACCGAAAATCCACCTATCATCCGTGTCTTTAGCGTGGCAACTTCTCAGGGTGAAGGGGACTATGGCTACCTATCTTGTACTACAGGGACAGGAATGGGCACTTATCAACAAGGGTACCAAATAGTATGTTAAATGTTCCCTTTAATCTGAGTAATCAGAAACCTTTAAAGCTGGCAGGCCACTGAAGCCACGCCATTCAATCACTCACCTGTAACTTTTCATCCACATCGTCATCACTTTCATCCAGGTCTTCATGAAGTAGCCGCCATTCGTATTCTACATGAACATGGGAATTAAGTCTTCCAGCCAAGGCCTGGCCTAGCTAAGGAACCAAAGTTGGGCATCATGAGGCAAAGCAGAATGTCAGTCATGAAAATACCCATTTCTTAACCTGGTTCTTTTCTCCACTTGCCCTGCCCCCCTTTCAGCAGAAGATAATGCCAAAGAAATGTTAAAGGCTTATATAGCAGTTGAGAAGGTGTAGTCTTGAATCTGCACAGCAACCTCCCCCCCCCCCAAAAAAAACCCCCAAACCCACACACATTCAGTTAAGAAATTATCACATTTCCAATTAATTTTGCAGGAGGTGGCAAAAAAACGTAGGTAGCAACTTAGATGATTCAGCATGGAAATTTATCTTCACTCATGGTACTACCTTTACAATTTGCCTCTCTTTAAAGAAAACCTGTTGAAAATGATTTACAGGTGGCATTTAATTCCTTTAAAATTGGCAAAGATCTATAAGACTGGTACCAGCATATGCTGGTTCTGTAAAGAAGGCAAGGCAGATTTCTTTCACATGTGGAGGGCATGCAGACGTGCCTCCAGCTATTAGAAACAAGTGGTAAAAATTATATCAATTAGGTTAGAAAAAACAAATCCCCCATAAACCAGAGACTCTGCTGCTGAATTATCTACCTGATATCCTCAGAGATCAGCAAATGTTTGCCTTACATATGGTTATTGCTGCCAAACTGGTTTTTACCAGGCAATGGAAACTAAAAAATATCCCTAAACTACAAGACGAGTTATTGAAAATCTATACTTTAGTGAAATTAACAGCTTATCAGAGATACATATAGAGTAGACCTTTTATGGTCAAGAGTGATACAAAGAATGGAACTTGCAAGTATATAATTGGAATAGTATTACTATTGTCAGTTGCTGGTGAAGGATTTTTATGTCCATGGAAACAAGACAAAAGGGGGTTTAGATGGGCAATGTATCTTATGAACATTTGGTATTTTTTATATATATATCTGTAATTTGTTTATTTTTTAAAAAAAGAAATCACATTCCCCTGTAATATTCTTCACATAGTGTAAATGAGAGTCACTTCTAGAGTTAATAAAAGGAACCCTGGCTAATTATTTCAGCTCTTGGATTCTTAGGAAGATAAGAGACACATCTGGAATTCCATGGTCCAGCCCCTGCTGAAACAGCATGACTGAATGGTCTCCCAAGTAAAAAATGTTTCAAAAGCCCAGCCCACCCACAAGTCTAATAGTGTAAAAAGCCTGTGTTGAAATTAACTATGAATGGCATGAGCTCATAGAACAAACTTCTCTCACTTCCTCCACAGCCAACCAAGGGTCCTGAAAGAGTTGCTCCTGAAGATCGGGGGCTCTTGGGGACAGAGCTGGGTGTATCACAGGGGCTGAGGCTTGAGGGGTTTTTGAGAGAAATTAGCTCTGTCTTCTTTCTCAGCTACAGATTCAATGAATAGGCTCAGACATTCCACTGAAGCTTCCTATTCATCCCCTTATTCCAAGGGGCTGTTGTGAAGACAGACAGCATTAGCTTACACACCTTTCCGCTGGAGCAAGGATCCTTAGTTAATGAAAAATAGTCATGGGATCCATCCCATTATTTCCTGATTATTCGCATTTTGCCAAAAAAAGAAAAAAGAAGGATGTGGGCACAATTTGGACACATATATGTTATGTTTAGGCATAAAATGTAAACTGGGAAATGATCTAAGCCAGTGGTCTTCAGTGTCTCCAGGCAGTGACCCCCTTTTATCCTTAGGTAGCAACATGGGACCCACTGACCTTCAAGCACATGACATCACAGCCATCTCACAGGAATAGAAGCCAGAATCTGAATCGGACTGTGCTAAGAAGGAATACTTTCTTACACTGAGAGACCTCTTGTTGCCATCCTGCTGTTCACCTCAGAGTGTGTGTGCGCGTGTGTGTGCAGAGAATCAGGAGGCGTGGCTTGCTCTCTATGTATGAGTTCTTTCCAGCAGGAGGGGAAATTGTGGGAAGATGGCTGCCAGTATATAAAATCTAGGCTGAGTGTCTCTGTCTCTCCTGCTGCAGATATTTAAAACTTGGGTGTGGCCAGAGGCAGGAGTCCAAGGGCCCTGGGCTCTTAGTTCATGGCTTTGGCCTTGATAGACTAACCTGCTGGACAACAGCCCCGTACATTTTGTGACTTTTTGCTTTTTGTTTGCATTTCTACTGTGTCTTTTTAAAAATTTGTTTAAATTGTATTTACTGTAGGATGTTTTGGGTCCCTGCTGGGGAGAAAATCAGGATAAAAATTCACTAAATAAATAACTAGCACAAAGTGCTTCCAAAAAGCAGAAAATGACAGACTCTCCATAAGGGCTTCTGACTCAGGGGTAGAGGTGTGCATTTGGCATAAACCGAGCCAAAAAAGTACTTGGTGGTTTTTTTGAGGAGAGGCATCAGAAGCTATGCTGCAAATTTGGTGACTCTACCTCAAAAAACAGCCCCCCCCAGAGCCCCAGATACCCCCCCAGCTCAATTCTTCATTATAGCCTATGGGGACCATTGACTATAATGGTCTCATGGGGTATAATGAAGCCGGAAAAAAATGGCTTTCCCGAATATTTACCGAATCTGAATACTATACCAGTATTGGGATTAGGAAATACCAGGAAATACTGATATTTTTCGGGATCAATATACCCGAAACTGAAAAATACCAATTTTTTTGCACTCCCCTACCCAGGTGATGGGCTCCTTTACTCTCCTGAGAGTCCCAACTCTTGGGCGGAAGACCACCAGCTCTAAGTAAACAAAGATTTCTTCTTTTAGGAAACCTTTCCCATCCTTCTGAATAAAACAACACAGAAACCTCACTGTACGTAAACTAGATTAAAAGGAACAGTTCTCCTTTTCAGAACACAGTAAAAAAAATATCTTACCAGCTCCTCACAGCGTGTATGTTTTAAGCGTTTCGCTATATCAAGTGGCGTCTCTCCAGCTTCATTAGCTGTAAATCAATGGAGGGGGAAATGTTACGTTCTTTTTTGAAACCTTAATGCATGTTACGATAACTGAGACAGCTTTGGAATGGGAAGAGAATGAACCAAACAACAGGTACAATCCAGTCAAAAGAGAAGCACTTTTCAGTGCTGATGACAGGACAGTTTAGCAAGTACATCTCATGGAAAATGGAAAATACTTTGGTGGTAGAAAGTGCCATCAAGTCACAGCCAACCTATGGGGACCCTGTAGTGTTTTCAAGGCAGCAGACGTTCAGAGGTGGTTTGCCATGGCCTGCCTCTGTGCAGCGACCCTAAAATTCCTTGGTGGTCTCCCATCCAGATACTAACCAGGGCTGACCTAGAGTTGCCAAGTCCATCTTCCACCCCCAGGGGGCGTTCCTGGAGGGGGCGGGGCATCCCCGACGTGATGACGTCACGTTGGGGATGTCCACCGCCCCCCCCGCCCGCGTGCCAGATCTCTAGAAACAGCAGTTCCCTGCACTTAAAGGAGCCGGCGTTTCCCTTTTAAGTGCAGGAGCCGGCGTTTCCCCTTTAAGAGCAGCCGCGTTTCCCTTTTAAGTGCACGAAGCTGGCATTTCCCTGCAAGCCTGATCTCAAGCGGCGATCGGGCTTGGGAGGAAACATGGGTTCCACACACTTAAAGGGAGAGAGAGGGGTGGCTGTGGGTGTTGGGGGTGGCGCTTCCCCCGCTGGCCAGAAAACGGGGGACCCCTGGCAAACCGGGGGGGTTGGCAACCCTAGGCTGACCCCTGCTTAGCTTCTAAGATCTGATGAGATCAGGCTAGCCTGGGCCATCCAAGTCTGGGCAAAAAAATGCTGTAATATATATAAAAAGTATTCTGTTAGTTTAGCTGAAGTTTTTGCTCCAGTGAAGTACTAGCAGTAGCTAGCTGTTTCTTTCCTCATTGGGTCAATTCAGTATTTACCATATAATAATGCCTCACAGAAACCAAGAAAAGTCCATAAAATAATCAAAACTTGGGTATATTAATGATCTTCATTCAAAGTACTGCCTGCAGATAAATGAACTATTCTATATTACACAGGAAAGAACTCTCTGTTGATTGTAAGCCTTCATTAGTTGTTTTCCTTTGTAAGCTCAACAGGTGCTTTATGGGCTTTTTTAATATTGATCATTTATGTTGCTGTTTTGATGATTTTAGAGTATTGTTTTTTATCATAGCCTTAAGCTCCGAAGAGACAGCATATAAAGTAACCAACTAACTAAATAAATCTATCCTGCAAATAAGCTTATATAAAGCCCATCAAAGTAGAGAAAAAGAAGAAGAGATTTGATTTATACTTGGCCCTTCACTACCCGAAGGAGTCTCAGAGTGGCTTACAATCCCTTCCCCTCCCCACAAAAGACACCCTGTGAGGTTGGTGGGGCTGAGACAGCTCTCTCAAGAACTGACCATGAGAGAACAACTCTGAAAGAACTTATGACTAACCCAAGGTCACACCAGCAGCTGCATGTGGAGGAGTGGAGAGTCAAACCCAGTTCTCCCAGATGAGTCCATGCTCCTAACCACTACACCAAACTGAGGAACCCTCTTTCCCCTTTTACCTATTTCAATGGAAGCTTTCCCTCTCAGCAATAGTTTGAGGCACTCAACATTATCGGTCAAACAGCAGTAATGGAGAGCTGTGCTGCCTTTGCACGTCTGCTTGTCGAGATTTCCACTGTACAGAAAGAGAAAGGTAATGGGCTCAGTTTACACTGGTCCAGTTCTCAATAGTCTGCTTCATATGAGATTCTCATACAATTATGTTTACATAATTTTGTGCACATAGTTTTGAAAACGGATCTTCTGCTCACCTATTCTGCACCAAGAAGTCCACTATGTGAAGCGAGGTTCGATCCACTGATCTTACTGCGAGATGAAGGGCAGTTTCATCTTGTTCCTGAAAATTGCATCATACTCATACAATGGTTTTTCTCGTTTTGGAAACATCGTATCCATGTGCCATGCATATTTATGCTTAAACTACGCTGAACAAATTCTAAAAAGCAGACTGTCGTATTTATATCCTATTCCAATCATGTGCAGTTCCAAAATGGGGCAAAAAATCCTTCCCCCCCCCACACATTTGGGAAAAAGACAGGGAGGCAGGAATGTGCTGCACCACTACGCAGTCCTAAACTGAATAGGGCCCCAGAGGATCTTTAAAATGCTGTTCTCCCCAGCTTCTTTGTGACTGTGGGGAAAGCAAATTGGGGAGCCTAGACCTGACTAGTTACAAAATGTAATATGGAGTTTCACCCTAAGGGACCAAGAGCTAATAAGGAGTTTCTTGAGTTAGATAAGGACTGTGGTGCTGGCAAAAAGGGGGAGGGAAATTGTTTCTCCCCCACCCCATGCTATTTCCTTGATCAAAACTTTCCCCCCAGAATTGTATTAGTCCAGGTAAAAAAGAAGACAGGGACTTTGCTCTATCCCTTTTTCTAGTTGGACTAATGGCAGCCCACAGACAGATTTCAGATGGGAAACAGCATGTGGGTAAAGAATTAGGCCTTGCTTTCCCAGTGCCATGGCTGAGTTGCCCTGTCCTATTCATCTTCTAATAAGAGAGATGGATGAGTTTCCTAAACCACAGATCTCTGCACATACAAACTAGGCTGCAGATATGTATCTGTGAGTGCAGTTTCTGTGTCTTGCCTGTCAAAGAACTGGCTGAAGTCGGCCTTTCTGAAGAATAAATTGGAAGTATGTAATAGTAGATACTTAACTAAAGAATGTCCAATGTTACGTAAATATATGTATTGTAACTAATATGAGTATGGGATGAAGAATTTAGGAAACTAAATGGAATTACATGTAACGGGTGGTACAAGACAATATGATTTCAGAATAGGAAGTAATCCTTGTTTATTAATCAAGTATAATAGGAGTTAGTGGATAAGCCAGAGAAGACTTTCTATTAATAAAGGGGGTGAATAATATAATAGACTGTAGGAAAATAAGATTAATTTTTTGTATTATTGTTCGCTATAGAAATTCATAAATTGTGAATTAAAAAAAAAAAGAACTGGCTGCCCATGGCTTGGGGAAGGCAACCATTCAAAATTTAGAAAGGGCCTCAAGTTCAAAATATTTGAGAAACCACACATATGCCATTAGATTGCATCTTAAGTCATAAATGTATTAAAACAAAACAAAAATCCTCTATGATTAGATTTCAGTAAGCATACATACATACATCTCCAGTGGAATTTCTGTGCAAACACTTTTCACTTATGTTTTAAGATATCTACTTTGGTGGTTGTTGGGGTTTTTTTTGCAACAGATGGGAGCGCTTTTAATTTTGATGTAAAACATTTCACTGGCATGTTTCATGTACCATCAACACTATATCATAGCAGGAGAGTGACAGTGAATTATCCTCAAAGGACTGCAAATTTATTTATGATTCCACTGTCATAAATAAAGAGTTCTACATTAATCAGTGATCTATGAAGGTTGAAAACACTTACATGTCCATTTGCTAGTGGAATTTTCTCAGTTAGATCCACACCATCAGCATATACTTGAAGCAGTCCAAAAATGTCTCTTGTTCTGACCGCTTCACAGAGACTTTGTAGCTTAGCTGCAGTGTCAGAGTATTTTTTCCTTGCATATTTTCTTTCAATATATTTGGCATTAATATAATCTTTTCTTGCATTCCTGGAACAAGGCATAGGATAGTTTATTGAAAGCTGGCATTACCTACTCAGATATTGTGTAGGGTGCTTCTAGAAATTGTTTGGGTTTCATTTTCAACATAATGCTTTCCTCATTCTCTGACATATATACAAAAGGCATTATGTACTTATGATCCTTTAACAAACCATTTAAATTACCTGATTAGACGACATAAGTGAACTCAACTTCTGTAAAATCCCTTCAGCTTTGTACAGCAAATCTGTACGATCATTTTACAAATTAAATTAAAACTAAGTGCAGGAGTCATTAAACTGATGCATCCTTCAATTCTTCTGAGGATAAACCTGCACTGAATCTTCATTCACTGTTCTGTTGCTGTTTTACTTTATTTAGCCCCTGGTCAATTGTTTAGATTTGCCGTCATGCATGATTTAAGAGAGGATCCATTACAGATTGCAGAGGATAAGCCGATCAAGTACGCTCCATCCAAAGCTACTCCTCTGGACTGTAGTCATTGTTTATCTAAAAGTCCTCTAAAAGCTGCAAGAAATTTTTAAGTCTCAAAGTATTCCTCTGAGTTTTTTTCTCTCTTCACAACAGCCATTTGACCATCCTTCCTTTTTGGTTGCAACTCCCACTCATTTAAATGGTTTCTCTGGTAATTTTTAACAGAGGTGACAAACAAGTGCCGATTGCTAGGAGGAGTGAAAGTTCACTGACATTAAAGATATGAAATCAAGCTCTTACTACCTCGACTAGGGTGTCTGTCACTTAGGTTGCGGTCACACGCACCAGAAAAAATGGGGGGGGGGGTGCGAGGGTATTTCCTCCGGAGGAATTTGACCCACAGTTGCACGATCACACCTCCCTTTGAAGCTGCAGGCGCAGTCCGTCAATGTGTGATCACATGCAACTGCAGGTGAGTCGTCTTTTTGTGTGTGCCGTTTCTTCCCCATGCATTTAAATGAGGGATCAATGAATCGCACCTCTGCACCGAGGGCTCCCTATGGAGTTTGCAATGATGCGCATACTGCAAAGGGGCGGGGGGACAATGGCACGGAGTTGGGATGGCCTGATCAGACCATCCCAACACCATGAGAGCACGCTGGAGCAATCAGACAGGGGAGAGTCCGTCTGTGGCCCATCGCAACCCATTTATTACTAGATTTTCCCCTGTGTCTTTTAACTCTGCTTCTGCGGCAGAGCAGAAAGGGTTGCTGATGGCTGCGGGCCGCTTCCCAGATGTTGTTGTCTGATTGCGCCCTTTAAATCCACCCGGCATTCACACCTATGTCAAGTCTAATTGTGTGTATGAATTGCAGCCTTACAGTGCTATCTTATGTGGAGTTACTCCAACCTAAACCTGTTCCTTTATGTACAGGACTACACTACCAATCACTTCAACAAATCAATGAATCAAGAGCCACACCATATTAAGTAGTTGTATTCTGTCATTAAGATGTCGTTTTTGTTGATTCTCCCCTCCCATTTCAGGTTTTGCAGTGGGCTGCAACTAAAGAGGAGGTGGGAAAATTCTGTTCCATGAGCAGAGCTCATGGTTGGTGGGACTGAAACCCCTGTGTTTCAAAATAATTTACAAAAAAGGGTGAATTCAACAAGAATAGAAATTTGGGTTCCAGTGGAAAGCCAAAGCTTTAAGTCTAAGCCTACATTTTCAGTTACCCTGCTAATGCTGCTGCAGTTTACTCATAAGCAGCAATTTAATTTATTTGGTCTTGACCATTCCCTTCCCTCCAGCTGCTTCTTTAAATCAAGTGAAGGAATTTTATAAAGGAACCTTTAAAATATACCACTGTCTGTGGACACGTGGAGGCTGTTTTCGATTCGCTTTCTAACAGCAACCATTTAAGTCTACTTTTTTCATTGAAACCCAGTTTTTAAGAAATATTGTGCATAGATATGGTTGCACATACATGCAGGTTCTTGGAGTAGGGGTCTTTATCAATTTAAAAAAGGTTTTTTTGGCTTCAAACCGGGGGGGGGGAGATTTCCATTACTTCTCTAACATTGGCACAAACAACATATTTAGCTCTGAATAACAAGATGCCACTTCTAAATGGTCTGAAGAGCACAGGGGGCTGGGGGGGGTGGAGAATCAATCTTCTTTGAAGAGGCTTTGTTTACAACCTCATCTTCTTGTTCTACGATATTCTCCAGACACTTAATTTAACCACAGGATGTCTATTTCTTTTTACTGACTATTTATTTATTTATTTCATTCCATTTATATCCCGCCCTCCCCGCACGCAGGCTGTTTTTCCAGAAACAGTTACTTTAATACTTCTTTTGATTTCTGTAGAACTCAAATATTGTATAGAAATATTATTTAGTAGTAGTACTGAGTATCCAAAGACATAGTAGTCCTCAACATCCCTGCCAATTCATACTGAAAATAAGACGTGTGTGTGAAAGCGCACATGCGTGTGAAGCTAAGAAAACAGCGCCTTGCCAAAGTTCTTGACTGGGGCAAGAGTTGAACTTATGCTTTTAGCCATTACATTACACCAGTTCTTCATACATTCCACATTTCACACTTACATATCACTGCTTGGATTCGGTTTGACTATCTCATCTGCAGGAAGGCAAAATTCCATAATTTCATTAAATCCTGCATTCCCAATATTCTTGGCGAGCTATTAAGATAAATACCAACAATTCAAAGGTTATGAAAGGGTAGTATGATGTGTTTTTAATTAGCATCAGACGTAGCATGGAGATTTTTCTGTCTAAATCACCTATGAATGGGCGAGAAGTGTTCTCATTTGTCCTACTAGCAAACCAGGTAAGTGTTAGTCTATAGATAGTCCAGTTATGATTTCCATCTAAATGTAAGGACAACAAGATTGCATTATAAAGCATTGCCTTAAGAAAATATGGTCTGAATTTTGTACAAAGAAGGCACCATAAATCCACTCCTTCATTGGGTTTTCATAAAACAGATAATTGCATATATGTGAATATGCAATAAGGGACGAGTTATACATTACAGCAGACATCCAGCTATCATCGAAAATCACTTTCCACATCATGTTCCTCCTTCACCTTCATCTGCACAACTAACACGTTATGTGCTTCCCTGCCAGGAGAGCTAATGGTGAGATGGGGTAGGGAAATGTATAACAGGACAACATTATGTTGCAGGGTAAGTGAGAAAACCTAACACTGGGAAAGTGAAGGAAATGCAATATACAGATGCAATTTTTTGCAGCAGTCCCATGTCTGAATAAAGTTTTAACTCCCCCCCGAGGGTCCACCTTTACTTCACTTTCCAGTACAAATCCTTAAGGCAAAGGTTAGCACAAAATCAACTGCTGAAATTCTGCACCTATAATGCACTACTTTAATCTCTAGGTTGTTTTTGCAAAAGCTGCTTTAACACACATCAATCCAATACATTTTATTCAGTGAAACTGTACTAGCAGAGCTGCAGTTGCATTAGAATCAATATTGTTCTATTGTACTTCCTTTAATGGATAACCAAGGGGTTCTTACAATTATACTGACTGGCAAGAATACACTGTCTAGACGCTCAGTCAACATTTAAATGATGGAAACATGTTCAGCTTACCAGCAGTTCAGATGTTCCCAGCACATCTAATGTGAGTGACTGCATTCTGGAATAGTGGACACCAAGCTCTCGATGGATTCCTGAGCACTCGATACAAGTTAAAATGCCCAGATTGGTTGAGAGCCATGTAGGGTCTGAAAAGTAAATAAAAAGAGAATGTAAGCTACACAAGGTAATGTATTCAGTGGAGTAGCTGTGCTGCAGTCACACACACTAAATAATCCAGTTTCAGTGCACTTTCCAACTGGATTTTTACTGTGTGAACTGGCAAAGTCCAATTCGAAAGTGTATTGAAAGTGGATTATTTAGTGTGTGTGATCGCAGCCTGAAGGTGACATGGCATCCACAGGGACCCTGCATTAGCCATTTTCTTGTGGATAGCAGAAATTGCCCCTTAGTAAGAGGACCAAGGGGCAAACTATAACTGCTGGCTCTGCCTCTGTTGGTCACCATACCACTCTAGGACCAGCCCCAGCTTCTTCCAGCCCCAAACCAAGCCTCTTGGCTATGTGCTTGGCTTCTTCTGCTTTCCTTTCGTCCTGATGGCTGGAGGGAAGATACCTGCTACCAGTCTTGGCTTTAAACAACTGGGACCATGTGATACTCCGAATAGGAGGGCACAGAGAAGGAGCACACGTGAGCAAATGACTGCCAACCTCACGATTTGCAGGGCTCCATTACAGAGCCACAACAAAAACAAAAACGAAATGGGGGGAAATATCAGTACTTGTCTGAATACATAGGGCAGGGGTGTCGAACTCATTTGTTATGAGGGCCGGATCTGATATAAATGAGGCCTTGTTGTGCCAGGCCATGTATGTCATAAAATGTAATGCCAGGTAGAGGAGATATAAACTTTATAAAGGACACAAACACAAAGGGGCTTTTTTTAACTTAAAATAAAAACATGCTTAAAACATTAGCACTCTTGCAATATTTTGTTTATTTAACAGTGTCTGATAACTGACACCTCTTGCTCTGAATTATTGCATCAAAATGTCTGTGCTGTTGCAGTCCTGAGTATGCTGTTCAGGTGTGTATCTGTAAGCTGCAAACCTACAATGACGCAGCAGCAGCAGAACTGGAAGAAGAAGCAGAAGACAGCCAATTCCACTGCAGGCCTGATAGAAGCTCTTCGGGGGCCTGATCCAGCCCCCAGGCCGCATGTTTGATACCCCTGCATTAGGGTGTTAGATTGATCTAATGGTATGAAATTACAGTTTCTTTGGGGTTTTTTGACACATTTGCTTCTGATTGTTATGTCTGACTATTGTACCTGCTTTATGTATGATTGGTGTATCCAATGTTATATGTACCCAATGTAATTTATTAATAGTTAAGTGTCGTAAATTTGCAACTGATACATCGTGACCCCTCATGGGGTTTTTAAGGCAAGAGATGAGCAGAGATGGTTTGCCATTGCCTTCTTCTGCATAGCAACCCTTATTAACTGCCACCTTTTGGGGGTGGGAAGAGATTTTTTTTTATTTTATCAGTCAAATAAATACTCCATCAGCACTGTACGGTCACCTTGTGCTCCGCAGTCACAGCACACGTCATTTCCAGGCATCCTCTGCACATCAGAGATGATTTCTTTTGTCAGTTCTTGGACAATGTTATTTTCTCCTGTGTTGTCATCGCCTTTGAATGCGTTATTTAAAGCTTCTTCTTTACTGTTCTGTAGCACAGATATCCAGCTACAAAAAGCAAAACATTCATATGTCTCTGCTTCAACTGTTCTAGTAATCTGGCTTCCTTGCTTTTTTCATGGTTTTTAAAATCATCTTTTGACAGAGGTTTGTTTTTGAAAATGTTTATAAAATGGATGATTTGTGTGTGTGTGTGTGTGTGTGTAGAATCACAGAAGCATAGAGTCACAGAGTGGGAAGGGGACATATAGGCCATCTAGTTCAACCCCCTGCTCAGTGCAGGATCAGCCTAGAGCATTCCCTGGCAAGTGTTTGTCCAGCAGCTGCTTAAAGACTGCCTCTGTGTGTTTGTGTGTGTTTGGGGGACAACCTGCAAACAAAATAATTTTGGCAGTAGTAAAGTGTATGGAGGTTCAGGAATAGATGTTCTGTGATTCAGTAGTTAGATTTAAGTCCAGGGCTGGTAAATCAGACACAAGTCATAATCAATGGCCACGCGATGTATAACAGACAGATTCAGCCCAAATTTTGGGGAGGGCGGTGTTCTTGTATTGTGTGCATGTGCATGCATGCCTGGAAGTCATGGTGACTTCTGGCAACCCAGCATGGAGGATGTTGAGAGAACTGGCTTGATACAGCCTGCCTCTGCCTCTCGGTCCTGGTATTCCAAGGAGGTCTCCCATCCAAGTACTTGCCAGGGTCAGCCCTGCTTCGCTTCTGAGATCTGACAAGATCGGGCTTGCCTGAGCTATCGAGGTCAGGGCCAGCCCAAAATTTCTGGCATACGTTGTAACCCCAATCAAGTAAAAATAAGTGTTTTCCAAGGGCTGGCTCCAATGCCTCCCTTCTTCTGAGAACAGCTCCTTCTGTTGGAAGAAGATTCTTTACTTAGTGGAAGGAACTCACTGGATCTATTCCCAAATGTTTGAGATTCAAAGGTGAAACCTCTCTCTCTCTCACTCAAAAATGTTAAATTGTAATCCAGATTTATATTAACTGAAGCTGAAAATCCCCCAACTGTTGAAACTGTAGGAGTGGGATATTTGCTGACTAAGCATTACAATCCCAAGGTTTCCTTTTTCTAAACACTACTACTTGTAAATGAACTAGAACTACTGAAAGCTGAATTGTCCAAGCTCCTCTGCAACACAATCAAGGCACATTTTCAAGTAGGAAGTAGCTATTTAATCTACAGAACACAACATTATCACTAGCAAATGAAAAAGCAATTATTACTCAAGCAAAATAGAAATGCAATTTACATTTGACATTTTAATTCTGTTTGCCTGGAATTATGTTTTAGATATGTTTTAATTGTGAAGGCCAATGGCCATGAGCAATAAATTCAGTTGATTGATGATTGACTTACATTTGACAATCCTGTTCATCCTCTGCTTGGAAATGATACGTTCTGTCATCTATAGAATAATAAATATTTCTAAAGTTGACCGAAAATAAACATGTAGATAATATATTTCATCAGACCATTTATGACAATTTCAGCGGTAACTCTCCTCTACTTAATACCACTTCTGGAAATGTAACTAGCACAATTTGTGTAACTAGACAATAAATTATACAGAGTTACAATCACTTATGTATAAAGATGCAGGCTACTTCAGTAAGGGGAAGACAGAGGAAGTTTCACTGTGCAATTGCCTTCCATAAAATCTTCTGCTGGATCCCACCGTATATCTTTTAATCGCCTTTTGCTTCTTTAGATCTCAGGAACCCTGCAGCCTGCCTTTTCCCTCTGCTCTCTTCTATGCTGCAGTTTGTAACTTTCCTTCATTCCCTTTGGCATTCCCTTTATTTCAGTTGCTGTCTCAAGGAAGTCTTCTCAGAAGCCCATATAAAAAAGTTCCAACGCTGTTCTCACATTAAAGGTGATTTTTTTAAAGCTATGACACATGGGACTATCCTAAAGTTACAATTCAGAGGATTGTACTTCAATGGACACCACTTGAGTCTTCCTAAGAAATAAGTGGCTTAAACCCTTCTGATTGACCGACAGACTAAATCATTTCCTACTGAGGAGACATTCATGTACAGTTCCATTTGGGCAGGGATTCAGGGTGGGAAGGGCCCTGAGTTGGTATACTGGCTCAAGCAATGAGGTGGCAGAGGTGGCTGCATACTTTCTTCTTTCCCGAGGCCTTAGGGTGCACGCAATCATGGGAAGCTGGATCTTCATTACAGTTAGTACGTGCTGAAATTTGATTTGTACATTACTTGAACAACATGAAATCTATGACAGCTTGCCTGCTTACCCAATACCTTTCTAGTAATATTTGAAGGAAACAATCACGTGGGCCAAACAACTTCCTTTCAAGTGCTGTCTCCGCAGGGAAAAGGTTTGTTAACTTGTGTTTGCATCAAAGCTATATTTGCAGGTGACAAACTCTTCAAATGTTTACCTTTATAAGCAAACAGCAGGGTTTGCTTTACACAATCTCACTGCATGAGCAGAACGCATTTACAATTACCCAGTGGGGTTGTCCCCCCCCCCCACAGATTTGTCCCCTTTCAGTGGTTTCTGGCTCTGCCCCACCTGCTCCAGAGGATTAGAAAAATATCTAGAAAATCCCTACTTTTGGAGGGACATGGGGGGGTACCAATTACTCTCCCCTCCTTATGAATGGAAGTGCCTTCTGCTCACACACTGGGATGTTTGGATCCCTTGTTATGAAGTTATATAATTCTGTTACAGCAATAAACTCCAAAAGACTAAGAATTTTAGATCCTAAACCAGAAACCACGCTTTAAGAGACAGGAGATATAAAGTGTTGTTCAAAACAAAGGAATGAAAGAAGACTGACAAAAACTGCATAAAAAGATAACGGAGGAACCTGTAGTCCTCCACAAGCAACAGGGAAGAATATTATAGGGATGATTCTTATGCTCAGTTGAGTTCAGAAAGGCAGCCATTTTGATTCCAGAATGGAAAATGCACAGGAATTGTGACCTGCATATATGGCAACTCTGTGGCAAGAAGCAAGGACCATACCATGCTATCTGCTAGTGAGGTACATTTCGGCAATCAACAGAGAAGGGACTGATAACAGAGGAGTGAGGTGAGGTGATTAGAAATGTTTTGACTTATTCAAGGAATGAATGGACTATGTTGAAGTAAGGATACTTTTGTATCCAGAAGAAAACTGAAGAAAAAGCATCTGTGTCAAAGGTATTATGAAACATGTAGGTAGATGGTAGGCATATTCAAGGCAAACAGGAAGAGAGAATGGCCCTAATACCCAGAGTAAAAATCGTGGTTTCTGGTTGAAAAAAGTATAAGGTATACCAGAAATTACACTCTGATCAAGTTGTTTTTGATTTGTGCTCAAATGAAACTGCGTACATTGAAAACATTTCTATCTTTATAAGAAAGGACAAAAACGAGCACTCTCTTTGAAAAAGGCAAAGTCCCTCATTGAAGAAAAACAGTACTTAAAGGTATGAGATAGGAAAGAGCATCATGGACAACTGACTAACATACCCTGCTTTAGAAGCCTATGCAGGATAGACTATTGCAGAATAAATTAATACAGTGTACAAGCAGATTGAGAAGGGGGACAGGATGTTCAGATAGTTATCCTTTGTATGAGAATAGATTAAAAACAGACCTTTGGCTACCTACCGTGAAAGGTCTTCTCCTCTGAGGAAAGGAAGACATCTTGTGGGTGGCAGGAAATTATTTTCTTCCTCTTCCTTTGTGATGTGGGACTACCTTTCAGGGAGGCAGGAAGTTAATTTCTTCCTCTTCCTCTGTGGCCTTCTCTCAGTTCAGGTAACTCTGAGAAGCAATCTCAACTAGAAAAAAATCTCTGTCCTACCCTCAATGTAACCATTATATAGAAACAAACTAGAACGTTAAGAACATGACAAACAGAAACTCGTCCCAAAACCAGGACAAGGGAGAAGTAAGTAAGTAAGTAAGACTGAAGCAAAGCAGCAATCTGGCAATGTGATCAGGGAGGGGCAAAATGTCTTCCTTTTCTCAGAGAAGGACCCTTTACAGTAAGTAGCCAAAGGTCCGTTCTCCCCTGAGGTGGAAGACATCTTGTGGGTCCTCCCAGAGCAGTAGTTTATTTCTTGGGTGAGACATCACCATCTTTAGGGAGTATGTGCTGCAACACTCTTCTGCCAAATGATGTGTCTGAGGAATGGTACACGTTTAGCTTGTAGAGGCGTATGAACACTGAAATGGAGGACCACGTAGCCACTCTGCAGACCTCCTCTATCAATGCATTTTTCGTAAATGCTGCATTAATGTCTGTGCTCCTCACTGAATGCGCTGTGATGCCATGTGAAACTTCAGTTTTAAGAGTCTTATAGGCCTTTGTGATGCATGTTTTGATTGTGGAACTGATAGCTGATTCAGGCATTTTCTTCCCCAAATTGGGGGAAGAGAGATGTTGATGAACAGCGCCTCCATTTTTCAGAGGTGTTCCGTCCTCACGAGGTAAGCCTTTAGAGTCCTTCTAACATCCAAGGTGTGCCATGGCTTCTCTTTGGGGTGTTTTGGATTTGGACAGAATGATAGTAGGTATATTTCCTTTTTTTTTTTTTAATATTTTTATTGATTTTCAATACATAACATAAATGATATTTCAAATTTCTGTTTTACAATACTTTTGGAGCTTTTTATTCATATATTTCTAACCAATTTTCAAATTTTTGCCATCTTTTCTTAAACACACTGTCCATTTTTCCCGCTAAAAATATATTTATCTTATCCATTTCTTTTATGTCTAAGATATTTGTGATTAATTCTTCTCTGGTAGGTATATTTCCTATGATCTGTGGAAGGCGGACATGACCTTGGGTTGCAAGGTGGGATCTGTCCACCGGGCCACCTTGTCCTAATGAAAGATAAATAACTCCAGTTTTGCTGAGAGAGTGTGCAATTCTGAGATTCATCTGGCCAAGGTGACCGCTACTAAGAAAATGGGTTTCATCTGTAGCCATTTCAGAGGTATGTCTTTGACTGGCTTGAATGGAGGTTTCGTCAATGCTGAGAGTACTGTATGCAATCTCCAGATGGGAAATCTGTGGATCTGGGGTGGATTCTGTAGGGTCATGCCACACAGAAATCGGCATATGTGAGGATGGTTGGACAAGTTGATGCCATCTATATCTGGGAGAACTGATGCTAAGGCCACTACCTGCTTTCGATGGGTTGCTGGCTTGAGGCCTTGTAGGAAATCCAATACAGACCTCAAAGAGGGTCTCAGGACAGTCACCAATTTTCTCCTACACTACCTGTGGAAGGCTTTCCAAGAGGCATTATAGATTTTGATGGTGGACACTTTTCTGGATGCTAGAAGGGTGTAAATTACATCTGATGAGTATCCTAACTTGGTGAAGTGACGCTGTTCCATCTCCAGACAGATTCAGCCATTTTGGATGGGGATGCCACACTGGGCCCTGAGTGAGCAAGTCCAGAAATACTGCCATATGTAGGGGTCTGGATACTCACATCCATTGTAGTGTGGAGAACCACAGTTGGCAAGGCCAGGATCTCTGCTCTCTGTTCCTAGATTTTTCTAAGCAATTCGGAGATGACTGGTATTGATGGAAATGTGTATAGAAGGCCCCCACGCCAGATCAAGGTCAGGGCATCCGTTTCCTCCACTTGGTGATGGTAGTACCTTGTGAAAAATCTCGGAAGCTAATATTTAAAGAGAAGATGCGGGCTGAAATGCATCACAATCTGCTGGCATATTGATTTCTTGAGAGAGACTATTCTCCCTGTTAGATGATTTGCCAGCTGAGCCAATCTGCCTGTAAGCTCTGATTGAGGCAAGGTGTTGTTCTGCCCACGATAGCAGTCTTACTGCTTCTCCGTGTAGTGCTGTGGACTGTGATCCCACCTGGTTGTTTAGGTATGTTTTGGCCTAGACATTGTCCGTGCAAATTAATATATGTTGATCCCTCACCTGATCACTGAAGTGTATCAGAGCCAAGTAGATTGCTCTCAACTCCAGCACACTGATGGGGAGGTGAGATTCATTTTTGGACCACCTGCCCAGTGTTGGAATACCCTCCAGGGTCGCTCCCCATTCCAGGAGACTGGCATCTGTGAATCTCTGTGGGAAACCAGTATTTTTTCCTCTTGCTTAGATTTGTGGCCTTGATCCACCATGACAGGCTCTTCTTGATATTTTGGGGTACCGAGATGGGTAGATCCTATTTTTCCATGATTTGGATCTGATATGGATGGAGTAGAAATCGTAGAGGCCTCATGTGTAGGCATCCCCACTGTATCATATCTGTCCTTGAGATTCAGAGTCCCAGCAGCTTGGTGAGTGTAAGAAGGGAGGAGTAGCTGTTCTGGATGACCAATCGAGCTAGTTGTTTGGTCTTGTGCATCTTTTCCTTCATGAGAAATAAGGGACTGTGCCTCCTGGAAAGCATTGCTAGGTGTTCCAGTCTCTGAGATGGAGACAGTGAAATCTTGGAGAGGTTGACGAGGAAGCCGTGTCATTGCAGGCATTTAATTGTCTCCCTCATGTCATGGACGGTTCTCTGTTTGGAGCTGGAGTGAATCAACAAATCGTCCAGTTATGGATGTACATGAATGCCCTTTTCCCCTCAAATAGGCAACTGGATTGACTAGAACCTTCATGAAAACCCTGGGCACAGAGGAGAGCTCTGAATTGCAAGTGTTGAGGCCCAACGCAGAATCTCAGGTACCTTTGGTGTGATGGTAAGATGGGTATGTGCAGGTAACCTTCTGTGAGGTCTGTTCAAGTCAGGTACTCTCCTTGTTGGAGTGCCTCTGTAATAGACCTGAACATTTCTATGTGGAAGTGTCTGAGCTTGATAAACTTGTTCAGAAATTCTTTTGGGGGACTGTGAAGAAGATGGAGTATATTCGCTGCCCTTTTTCTTCCAGGGGAACTGGTTTGACTGCTTGAATGTTGATGAGGAGTCGGATTGCCTTGTGAGCAATGTTTCTCTTGGTCGAGTTTTTGGGTAGAGGGGAGATGACGAAGCATTCCGGTGGGGTTCTTTTGAATTCTATTGAGTGGCCTCGTGAGACTATCTCCAGTGTTCATGGGTCTATTTTGGAGCTGATCCAATCTGGTTAGAAAAGAAGAAGGTGCCCCCCCCCCACAGAATGTCACCTGAGTCATGCCTTGTTAGGCTTGTTGTCTCACTCTGTCCTGTTGGCTCTGTTTGGCATTTGTCTGTTGAACCTAGGGGTGTTGAATCCCCTTTTAAAGGTCTGTCTAGAGTTCCCCCAGCTAGATCTTCTAGAATCCTGCTTGGATCTTGAGAGGGTGTGTTGAGATCAAAAGGACTGGGATCCATACCCTCTTGTATCAGGGCAACACAAGGTTTTGGGCATTGCGAAAGCTGCCCTGGATATGATGAGGCTGCAGTTGAAGCTTTGATTGCCATTGTGGTGGCCTCATGTGTCCTCTTCAAAGCAATTTCAATCTTCTTGTCTAGGTTGTCCCAGACCGATCCCTGGCTGTCCTCTGAAAGTAGACCTGGGGGTTAGTGTGTGGCCACAGCGGCAGCCACCAGGGGTACCCGCAACATCTCATTGGCAAAGGAAGGTAAGTCATATATTTTTTTAACAAAATTGGGGACCTGATGATTGGAAGTAGGTTTGGCCCATTCAGCTTTCAGCTGCATTTCAAAGAACACAGAGAAGGGAATACCTTCTCAAAGACATCATATTGGGGGAAGTCCCCTTGGACTTGTAACTATGGTTGGTCCCTGGGCTAGAGACTTCCTCCCTGATACCACATGCTGTAGCTCTAAGGCAGACAGGGTCTTGGTTAACAAATACTGGAAGTCTTCTGCTTTGAAGTGCAAGGATGGCTCTGGGACACTAATTTCTCCATCATCGGATAAAAAATCCCCTTCCTCCTTGCCCTCTGTCGTGCTCTCTAAGGACCCTTCCAAAAGGAACCCCTGTGTTTGCCACCCCCTGGGGGTTCTTTATGGGCTGCTTTGGTTGGCCATCTGCTGCCTCTGGTATCTTAATCAGTTCCCTGTTGAAAGTTGGGGAGGAGGGGGGATCTGAGTGGCCTGAAGATGAATCTAAGCCCCTAGACTGGCAGAGATTAAGGATTTCCTCTTACATGGTCTATCTGAGAACATGCATGAACTCAGGGAAAAGGTCCAAATTCCCAGTGCAGGGTCCGTTTCCTTGGGAGGGGGTGAATGCAGCAGGAGAAGCATGCCCCGACGGAGGAAGCTTTCTCCCTGAGTCTCCCAGCTGGAGGTTGGCCTCTGGTGCTCCTGACTGCAATCAGAGGCTAGGGTCTGCTGTTCCTGCCAAAAATGCAGGTCCCAAAATGGCTGCCACTCCCAGGCACAAGGCAGGGGTGCAGTAGGTCTTCCAAGCCAGGAGCTGAACTGAGAGAAGGGCAGTTCCACATAATAGAGGAGGAGGAAAAAATTAACTTCCTGCCTCCCTGAATGGTTGGTGAGAACCACCCACAAGATCTCTGCCTTTTTTCAACTTGGGAAATGTACAGAGATGTGCAACATCCATTATGATAAAGTCTCATAACATGAAAGGGGCAGGAATTCTGCTCACAAGTCAACAATGGGTTACATTCAGAGCAAAATTTCTCCTTGAACAACAGTTCTTGCACAAGCAGAAATGCAAGAAAAAGTCTGTGGTAGCTGCTTGCACTAAAACAAACTTATTGTATCCCCATTTGCATTTCCACTTGCAGAAGATCTTTTGCAACCATTTTCTGAGCACTATAATACATAGGGAGGGAAAGGCTAGGTGTTGCACAGGGTCTTGCACATGTGGAACTGTGCTAAGACCATTTATGTTTCTGCTTGCATGTTGCTGGATCCAAGCAAGTATATCCACTGGCCATAACTGATGTAAATCAGTTATGGTCAACACCCAAAATGGGGATTGTAGTCATCCCTAATCTAAGACAAGTATTTTACATCTCCAACACAGCAATCCTAAACAGAGCTACATCCTTCTAACTCCACTAAAATTGTTTAGGTTTGCACTGTGAAGCTTCTAAACACATTGGTCTAGTACATTCTGAGAGGAGATTAGGGGTGTATTGCAAGCCTGTATCTTCTCTTCTCTGATCTCCTCTTGTATAGATATTTATTTCTTCCATTAATGGTTTGCTTTTAAGCACAGTTTACTGTTGACTGTATAAGCACTAACTATGCATTGAAATCATGACCTTGGGCAGTCCTAACCATAGAATTGAGATGCACATTTTGTTGCTGTTGTTTTATTTGATGATCTGTTATTTCTGTTATCTACCTTGGTTCCCAACTGTGAGAGACAAAGGCAAGCTTATACATCTTTTAAACTAATTTAAATAAATAGATGTTGGTGTAATTTTAAACTATGGTTAAAGAAATCAGAATTTCTGTACAAGAAGGGGAATAAAGGAATGTGAGCCCTCTGTATGTTTCTGATCTCCATCACAAATCTCCAACCATCTCCATCTACACCAAACCAGCAACATGCAATCACAAAGGAGTACAAAGCCATACACAGCAATTCAGAAAATCTGAGCGGGAAATGTGTATAGCCCACACGGAAGGCTTGTGAACTAGATGGTAAAGATGGCCCCCATGAAGCACTCAGGAGAACCAACTAAACTTTTATTTTAAACATGTACATATTGCCAAATATTCAAACCTAGGTTATCCTAAAGTGAACCGCCATATACAGAGGCAGCAAACCTCTCCTAGGAGGCAGCATCAGGGCAACCTGTTGAGCACTGCATGGAACATGTAGGTTGGGCTGGATGGACCACTGGATTAATCCACCAGGGCTTATGTTTTTAAGAATGTTTGTTATAGGCTTCTTGTTGCGAGAGGGACAGGCTGGTAAGATTAGAAAGTGCACCTCATGAGGAAAACACTAAGGCACTGTTGGAAGTGAAAGAGTGGACAAACAACTCTGAGAAACCTGCTCTGGAAAGACAAGGCAAGCCCCAGGTAGAGATGATGTGGACTAACAACTGGGAGATGGGCGGAGCAAGCAGCGATTAGCAGCAGCTGGGACTGGGTGAGGCAGCAGGTCAGCTAAGCTAAGGGGCTTGTGTTAAGGCAAGGCTTAACGGCAGCAGCCAGATGGCTTTGGGGGTAGCTGATAGTGAGGAGATCTTGTGAGTTAAGAGGCAGGAAGGGTGCTGATAACCACTTTCTCACTCTGTATGTATGAGGGCCTGAATAAATGGCTGCCAGAACTGGCTCAGAAGTCCAGCCTGTGCTTGGGGGAACAGGACTAATGGACTCTAGAGCCTTATTCAGCTTGCTGCAGGCCTCAGTGCTACAGGTTGCCAAGGATACGTCCAGTCCTGTCACACTTATGGAAATAGTATTGGTACTATTTATCCTCACAACTTTTGTTTTAAAAGTAAACTTAAGTAATTTAAACAGGCAAATCATAAAATCCAATGAAAAGATAAGGAGGGAATTTGCGTTGAAGACAGTATGTCTAATGCCTTTGCTCAGCCATTGCCCCCTGTTGTAGTGGTTATTCAGACAGCTGAAATGAGTTGGGTATTTCAAATCAATATATGAAAACCAGCATTATTCAGTCTGTTCCAAGACTTCCTGGCCTGCCCATCCAACATTTCTTGCCACCCATTCTGTTCCTTGCTGACCCTTGGCTATGTGAGAAGCTTCCCCATCAATCACAATGACTTTTCACTTCCCTCACAGAAGCGCTACTTTGTGGTTGTTTATTCTCACTCAGCAGGTGGAATGCACGTGAGCATGCCAGGATCTTGTAGTAGCTCAGGCAGTGGCCAGTGGGGAGTGCCTGACAAGAGATGGGTTTTAACCTATTATTCTTACGAAATGTGATGTCCTTTCCAATTCTGAATGCGGGGGAAAACCTAACCTCAAGAAAATTCACAATAGCAATTTTAAACTATTTATAATGACATAACTTGATCCATAATCTCTTGGACAACAGTCCGACTCCTAAACACATGACATTAATCATTTTGAGATCTGATTCTGTGCTGAAATCAGGAAGCCGTACCTGAAATATCCAGTAGGTTACATTGCCTCCAAGGGCAGATCCAACAACAGAAACTGACACGAAGAAACAAATAGCTTTTGCTGACAAACACATGACCCATATAAAAAAGGCAAAAGATGTTTAAACAAAGCAAGCTAACAGTAAACAGTAATGTACTCCAATTGATATTAGTCTGAATTTTGGAATCTCAATATTAAGTTGTCTTTTGAAGCAATATGGAGGTCTATAAAACTGCCTGATAGAAAATACCTAAGGAACTGAACAACAAACCTACGTGATATGAGGTCAAAACATTTTTTCTCTTCTGGGTTTGTTTTCACTTGGCAAGTTAACAGATTGAGCTTTGCAGGAGGCCGGTTTGCCTAATTAAAGGGAAAAAAACAAAACAAAAAGGAATATCCCTTAGTAAGAACACATAAAGAATAAATACGTTTTCTGTTACAAGTTGCTCTTGGAAGGGACAACCCTCCTGCAACTAAGTTACAATACATCCAAGGTGTACCCACAGAAATTCACAATGTAGATGGGTACTATACTCAGGTATGTTGGCTTTTTTAGATAAATAACAGGAAGTGAAAGCAACTATCCATACAATAAGGGTTAGGTCAAGTTGCCACTTTCTGTGTTACAGCTTGAATACATGTACTGAGAGAGAGAGAAAAGATGTGAGACTACAGAAACATTTTAGTAGTTCACATATCATGGATGGATAAATATGCCATAATTCTGAAATTCCACATGGATGTCCTTCTATAAGAACAACTCTTAGGAGCACTTCAGAGGCATTAGTGGAATTCTGAGAAAACTTAGGAGACCATTTGCTGTGGCCACGTTTTACAGATGACATATAGCTGAGGTGGTCAACATCTCCTTTGCTAGTAAGGTGGGCTGGACAAAATCAAAGCCGCTTGTATTCTTACAGTGTGTCCAGCAGGGCAAAAAGGAGTCATGTGGCTCTTGCAACATTAGACCTTAACATTACAGGTTATGTTTGGCTCTCCTTGTTCTTATAGCAGAGCTGCAAGGCTAGACATGATTAAATGGTTATAGTCACTGACAAAACTAACATTAAAAAGGTACATATAAAATGTTGCCATAGAAACACAAGACAGAGTAATTCCAGAAAGATCCCTTGACAGGAAATCATATAGCCCACTGTTGTTTTACACACATAAACAGTGTTAGTGGCACATTTTGACAGTAAAGTCAAACAGATTTTTCCAACTATGGAGAAAGAAAACATTGACAATAATTATGCAGTCTCTTTCCTTTCATCCCATCTCTCTTTCAATTCCAAAAATTCTAACATTTAATGAGCAAAACCATTTTAATCTTTAATCTTTATGAGAAACTTGCGTAAATATATTCACACCTAATCTGGAACCAGGTCAGTCTCTCTTCTAGAAAGGAATATTAACTGAACGCTTCTCTAGAGGAATCTGACCAAAAACCTAACTCAAATACAGTAGGTATAAGTAGAAACAAGTTTGAAAGCACAATCATGGTTTTACCTTCCAACTGGAAAAAACCAAACAACCAAATATAAAGTTTATGAACCAGAATAAGGAAGAAGACAACAGTCTCTTATTTAGTCAGAGTTTCTATGGATGTTAATTAAAAGCCTGACCCAGAGGAGTCTGTTACATCAGTTAGTCAAGTATTCAGAACAACTGCTACATCAGTGCAAAATCCCAAAACATTACACTGCAGAGACATTATGTTGGTGCTGCAAACAGAGAAGTCAGTGCATGTAAGAAAAGCATTCTTAGAAAAGAGCATTTCTTCCTCTTTTTATGTTCCAGAGAATGGAAGTTTCCTATTTGATATCTTAGTGTGTAAGTCAACATCACTTTTCCTGGCAACAATAACCTTTTTCAGAGTATAGCAGCTGCCTTGACATTTGAAAAGAGAGAAGTAGAGCAATGATGTGCAGAGGGAAGAAGAATGGCTGGAGATCACGTTTATACACTGCGTGACCATTGTGTGCTACTGATAGGGACACATCGACAGCAACAAACGCTGTAAGCTGCCTCCAGTCATTACCAATAGGTATGCGTATGTTGATGGGCAGCTGAACAACGTAAACACCACGTTTAGGCCACATGTCCCTTGGAGGAAAACCAGTGGTGGAGATGACAAGCTCTGGTGGCCCATCCTGCCAGCTTCATCCTCCTTTCCAAATCACCAGCCCATGCTGCTTTGTGTTAAGCATATAAATACACATTGTCTTGTCTGCTCTGTTAGTATATATATCTCTACACATTGGTTCCTCATTGTTTGTAGTCATTGTCCGTGTTAAGAAGAGAGAGAACCGTGTTAAGAAGAGAGAGAACATGCTTCTGTGCCATGGCTAGCAAATCATCACAGAAATGTGTGGGACTGAGGATGCACTGGCTCACATGGCCAACCATAAGGCGGCACAACATAAACTCTGCCCCCACTATAGGGTGTGACGTTGAAAACTATCAGTCATGGTCTCCAGCTGGCTACTGCACTTTTAAGAACGATATGCTAAGCTTCTAGACCTAAGCATGATTACTTGGAACTACACCTCATTAAAATCACCATGAAACACTTTAAAGCAAATGCATTCCGTAAATGAGGCATTAGTCACCGTTGTTTTCATGCACATGCACCTCATCCATATTGTACACACTGAATGTATTAAGAACATAAGAGACGCCAATGTTGGATGAGGCTAAAGGCCCATCCAGTCCAACACTCTGTGTCACACAGTGGCCAGAAATACCAGTGCCATCAGGAGGTCCACCAGTGGGGCCAAGACATTAGAAGCCCTCCAACTGTTGACCCCCCCCCCCAAGCACCAAGAAGACAGAGCATCACTTGCCCCAGAGCCCCTATCTATACCTTGTGGCTAATAGCCACTGATGGACCTCTGCTCCATATGCTTTAGAGCTGCCGCCGCGATTTCTGCCGCTGCGGAATCGGGCCCCGGGGGAAACCCCACCCCGGCGTGCACGTCAGCCAGAGGTGACGTGATGACGCCGGGCACGCTGGAGGCGGGGCCACAGCCATCTGAGGGGAAAACTCTAGGTTTCCCCCTCAGATGGCTGTGGCCCCACCACCAGCGTGCCCAGCGTCATCACGTCACCTCCGGCTGACGTGGATGCGGCGCGCACACGTGCACACGCTCAAGACGCTGTCCGGGAGTGCCTCAGTCGTCTTTTCTCCAAGCTAAAGAGCCCTAAGCGCTTTAACCTTTCCTCATAGGGAAAGTGTTCCAACCCTTTTATCATTCGAGTTGCCCTTTTCTGCACTTTTTCCAAAGCTATAATATCCTTTTTAAGGTGTGGTGCCCAGAACTGCACACAGTATTCCAAATGAGGTCTCACCATTGATTTATATAGGGGCATTATGATATTGGCTGATCTGTTTTCAATACCCTTCCTAATAATCCCCAGCATAGCATTGGCCTTCTTTATTGCAGTCACACACTGTCTCGACATTTTCAGTGAGTTATCCACTACAACTCCAAGATCTCTCTCTTGCTCAGTCTCTGCCAGTTCAGACCCCATCAATGTGTATTTATATTTAGGATTTTTGGCTCCAATGTGCATCACCTTGCACTTGGCCACATTGAACCCCATTTGCCATGTTGACGCCCACTCGCCCATCCTTGACAGATCCCTTTGGCGTGCCTCACAATCCTCACTGGTTTTCACCACCCTGAACAACTTCGTATCATCCGCAAATGTAGCCACTTCACTGCTTACTCCCAACTCCAAATCCTTAATGAATAAGTTAAAAAGCAGTGGACCAAGTACTGATCCCTGCGGTACCCCACTGCTTTCCACCCTCCACTGAGAAAATTGCCCATTTATACTCACTCTCTCTTTTCTATTAATTAGCCAGTTTTTGATCCATAAAAGGACTTGTCCTTTTATCCCATGATTTTTGAGCTTACTTAGGAGCCTTTGATGAGGAACTTTATCAAAAGCTTTCTGGAAGTCAAGGTAAACAATATCTATTGGATCCCCCTTGTCCACATGTTTGTTCACCCCCTCAAAGAACACTAACAGGTTAGTGAGACAAGATCTTCCCTTACAGAACCCATGCTGAGTCTGCCTCAATAGGTTTTGTTCATCTATGTGCCTACTAATTCTTTCCTTAATAATGGTTTCCACCAATTTACCCGGTATCGACGTCAGACTGACTGGCCTGTAATTTCCCGGATCTCCTCTGGAACCCTTTTTAAAGATGGGAGTGACATTAGCTACCTTCCAGTTCTCAGGAATGGCGGCAGATTTTAATGAAAGATTACATATTTTTGTCAGGAGATCTAGTTATCATAGAGTATCCCAACACAAGAGGTTTCAGCCAGGGGTCCCTGTAGGCTGTGCTAGGGTGCGCTAGTCTACAGTTTCCCGGACCTCAGCACGGGGATTTTCATCCCAGTGCAGCAGGTCTGAAAAGTAGGTGGCCCCTCCTTCCCTCTCTCCCTCCCTCCTGCTCAGCAATTGGTCTGGCTCAGCTGGACAACAGTTTTGGGTGGAGGTCCAGGTGGGGCTGCCTGTGGGCCGTATTACAGGAGGAGCTTGTGCAGGCCCTCCTGTTGTGCTGGCCGGTAGTGAGAAGTCAGTCAGACTGGAACCCCTGCTGTCACCCAAGAAGACCGGCTGCCCTGCTCCACTTCAGGTGAGTCAATCAACCCTCTCTGCCAGGGGGGACTTTGGAAGAAGCCCTTTGTTAGGGAGGGAGAGGGTGGGCAGGCGGGAGGGAGGGGCCCCAACCGGACTGCATGGTTCCTGCCCCCTCCCCGGATCTTTAACAAAAATGCGGCAGTGAGGCTCTTCAGGGGCCTCTCGACGCCAGCACCGGGCGGGTTCTAGGGGAAGCCCTTTGCTAGGGAGGGAGGGAGGGAGAGGGCCGCATGGTTCCTTCCCCCCCACCTTGCTGGTGTTTGTGTGTGTGTGAAAGAGCAATTGAGGCAGGGGTGAGGGGCAGGTCTGGCCCACACTATTCTTTCTTTCTTTCTCTTTCTTTCTTCATTTCTTTCTTTCTTTCTTTCTTTCCATTCCGTTCCATTTCTTTCCCTTTCTCTTTTCTTTTTCCATTTCTTTCTTTCCCTTTCTATCTTTCCTTTTCTTCCTTTCCATTGCTTTCTCTCCTTTTCTTACCATTTCTTTATTTATTTATTTCCCTTTCTTTCCTTCCCTCTCCTTTTTTTCTTTCTATTTCTATTTCTTTGCATTTCTTTCTTTCTCTTTCTCTTTCTCCCTTTCTTTTTTCCATTTCTTTCTCTCCCTTTCTTTTCCATGTCTTTCTTTTCCTTTCATTCCCTTTTTCCCTTTCTTTCCTTTTCCTTCTTTTCTCTCCCTTTATTTCCCTTTTTTAATTTCATTCTTATCTTTCTCTCCCTTTCTTTCTCTTCCTTTGTTTCTTTCCCTTTCTTTCTCTCTCCCTTTCTTTCCCTTTTTTCCCCATTTCTTTCTCTCCCTTTCTTTCCCTTTTTTTCCATTTCCAAACTGAAATAATTAAAAAAAAATGGGCTCACTCACAGCTTTTATGTGCGTATATTTTTTGGCTCATGAAGTATAATTTTTGCTCACAACAGTTGACAGCTTAGGGGGAACATTGGTTTCGGCTAAACATTAGGAAGAATTTCCTGACAGAGTGATGTCCTTGGTGGAGCAGGCTTACTCAGGAGGTAATGGGCTTTCCTTCTTTGGAGGTTTTTAAGCAGAGACTAAGTGGCCATCTAACAGCAATGCTGATTCTGTGAACTTAGGTAGTTCATAATAGGAAGGGCAGGAAGGGTTGCATCAGTGCTTAGTTCTCATGGCCCTTTCTTACATGTCCGGGAGAAATGCCAATCGCCTCTATGGGGTCAGGAAGCAATTTTCTCCAGGCCAGTTTGGACAGGGATCCTGGAGATTTCTTGTCATCTTCTGGGCAAGGAGCAGGGGTCAGTGGAGGTCTGTGGGGGAGGTAGTTGTGAATTTCCTGCATTGTGCAGTGGGGTGGACTAGATGGCCCTGAAAGTCCCTTCCAATTCTTTGATTGGTGAGCCAGTTTGGTGTAGTGGTTAAGTGCACGGACTCTAATCTGGGAGAACCGGGTTTGATTCCCCACTCCTCCACTTGCACCTGCTGATGTGACCTTGGGCCAGTCACAAGCTCTAGCACAGCTGTTCCTGAAAGAGCAGTTTGTGTCAGAGTTCTCTCAGCCCCACCCACCTCACAGGGTGTCTGTTGTGGGGAGGGGAAGGGAAAGGAGTTTGTAAGCCGCTCTGAGACACCTTTGGGTAGTGAAGGGCGGGGTATCAATCCAATCTCTTCTTCTCTTGATTCTATGGTTCTCCAAAAATACTGAGATGTAGATCTAATACAGGACAGCAGGAAAGAGGAAATAACCATATTTTCTCCATAAATGGGATGTGGAAATTGGGAACTATAATGCAGACAACTGAAAAGTGACTCTGGAAGGTTAGAAATAAATGGCACCACACCAATAAGGTATTGAAATGCATACACTATGACACCAAAGTCTGATCTGAGATGGGGCTCATTCCCAGAATATCCAAATGAGGGAGTGTTTCTAAGCATGTGTTCTGTTCCTTTCATTCCCCAAAGAGAAATTACAACCACACCAATGAATCTGGCATTTTCTATCTACTATTAAGGTCACCTCATGGGGAATGAAACCCTGGCAAATTCATACCTCAGCAGCTCTTTTTTTCACAATAACCTCTTCAAGAATGCCAACACAGGCATTACAAAAGAAACCATTTTGAGCCACAACATGTGGTTAATTATTGTCAATGACTGTACCAAGGTACAGAAAGGAGGGGGCGAAAGGAATCACTTTAAACAGCTCTGTGACCTGGAACAAAAATGGATCTTAGGATGAGTGTGCGTGTTTGAAAGTTTAAAAGCCTTCCTGGCTGAAGTCTTCCTGGCTGAAGAAAATTGAGGCCTATCCTGAAAGGACAAGGATTCATGGGTCCCCAAGTAAGACATCCAGGGCAAGCAACAACTGTGATGATGTATAATACATTCAGGAGAAATATGTTCAAGCCACGAAGCGCCTCTTCTAACACCCTGGGCAGTTTTTGCAAATGCCGGGATTTCAGAGCATGGTCAGTATTCCTAATTGGATGCTGGGGAAAAACTAGTCAGATAAAAACAAAAATTGGCTAGCTGGCGACCCTTGGTAGAGTCTGTTGATGTTCCAAAGCAGTGTAAGATGGATTCTGAAGATGAAAACGAATCAACACGTTACCCACAAACCACTAATTTATTCTTATTGATATGATCCTGTCTATCTGTACAATGACGACACTTGTTTATGCATATGAAATGGAGATCCAAGAGGTATTTAATAGCTGGTAAAACACAAGACTTGTACCTTTTTAGCACTACTTTGCAGTCTAGTTTCACGGAGAATACATTTCGCAGTTTAGAACTGTTAGAGTGCACAAACTCAGGATGATAACCAACAAAGGTTTATCAACAATGCATACAGGTTAAAATTTCTTCCCATTTCTTTTCTTAGCTACTACCTTAAAGATGTTAAACTCAGAGAAGCTTAGAAGGCAGTGATCTATTACATTAACACACGTCATATTGTGGGGGCAGGAAGACACCTCTAGACATATTTAGACCTTAGTAAGGAAGTACATCCAGAAACAAAAAACACTACGTCTAACCATCTTTAAAACCAGATACATCTAATAAGTATGCTTCATATTTTCGGATCAATTTTCAAAGGAATGGCAGCTACCACCCTTACTCTTAACTTTTATTTCCAGTTTGGAGAATCGTTGCCATGCTCATTGACTGAAACCTTTTTACAAAAGACCTTACTTTGCAAAACATAATTAAAATCCATCTGACAGGGCTACTTCACCCATGACAGCTCTCCTACCCACCCTCTCCTCAACAATGATTTGCAGATTGCATGGGAGTAAATATTCCACCCACTGCTGCATGTAAAAAAGGCTGAATTAGTACCTTTCATTCTAGTTCACTTTGCATTTAAAAAAAATCCCTATGCATTAGAGCTCCTCTTCCAACTGTGATGCCACCATAATGCAGTATTTTTCACAGAATATTTCTTATAGTCTGCACACCAATTGGCACTGAACAAGCTCTTGTTATTTTTCACCGCAAAGTAAAAGTATCTGGTAGTTTTCCCTTTCATTATTTTTAACAACACAGTACAGTATTTGGTTCTTTTCATAATCCACCATCAGCATACTAAAGAAAGCTTTTATGCCAAGATTGTTTAATTCTCATGGCAATTTTGCCAAGTTGTCTTTACAAAAAAAAAAGTTATCGTTATCTCCCCAGAACATACCCTGTAAAGACTCTAGCTGATTTCATACTATAAATACAATTGCAGCCTAATTTGGATTTTTGTATTAGCAACAAGCTGTGTGTATAGAATATGATAAACAAATACTTACTGTACCATGGGAAATGGTAAGGAAACCATTTTTAACTGTGCATTTCCTCTTCTGCCACACTTTTCTGATTCTGGTTTTAAAAACAAGAGACATCATGATCTAAATTTTGGTGTAACTGGAACTGAGTCTTTCAAGGACACAAGTGGTCTTCTATCTTTTCAAAGCAGCGGTCCCTATGACACATACCCGTCACTTTTCTTATAGAGGCTCCCATCTCTTTCCGTGCCATGCTCCTTATTTCCCTGAGGCTGATGTAAACTGTACGTGGTACTCTGACGGAGCTGAGAATCCTAAAGAGGTGAAGAAAACGGGTTACAACAAAATGCTGTGCCCCTGGCCAGTTGCCACTTCATCTTCTCAGAAGTCATCCCGTCACTTTCCTTCTTGTTCCATGATATTACAGGAGACCAAATAAAATAGCTGCACACTTCTGCAACTTGCTTAGATTGCAAACAATGCCTAAGCAACCTTCACTTTTTCCCCTGTCTGGCAAAAAAAGGAGCCATTTGAAATCCAGACAACATCCATACCCTTAAAATTCCCAACCTTCACGACGTTTTTCCCCCAGCTGAAAACACTATAGTGAGCCAATTCCATAATATTTGTCTTGACTGCCTTCAGGAGCTTCTTTCAAATACTGTTCCAGACTCCTTAGTGATATGATCCTACAAAGCTCTGCCTTGCACGGCACCACCTAGATATCATATTCTAATAATACCCGCTGACAACTTCCGTAGTTGACTGAGCTACTGATACAATGCTAATTAAGAAAAGATCACATGACCTCATTTAGTGTACTAACACACACACTAGCAACTTGTTTCTCAGTAAAAAACACACACCTGTAATTACGTTGCAATCTTCTTGAATACACATGATCAGTTTTCAGGTAATAGCCTTTGAAAACCAAAATGAATTAAGCTGTGAAGAACCTCCCCAGATTCTTCAGGGCAGTCTAGACCTACTAAAATCAACGCCTCCTCATCAGCAAATCCCACTGATTTAAACACAGCTTACTCCATCAGTCAAGCACATCCAGAACCAGGACCTTTAAACTATGGCAAACACAATAGGCTTCCAAAGATTCCTCTACTTTCTTAGAAACTTTTTCCTCAAAAGCTGTATTTTTGCAAACATGAAAAAGAATACATGCCATTACAGCCAGTTAACCATCACACACCCGACACAACTTACAACACTGTTCTATATACAAATGGATTTGCTAGAAATCCTTCACAACACTACACAAAGAGTTCTGAGGGACTGCTAGGTAGAGAAAAGCCAAGCGACTGGATTTTGGCAAAAAATGTCCCGTCCCCCCCACATGTTGATCAGCCAGTATATGTTCCAACAGCTTAGAGAACACAAAACTGGAGAGACAATCAGGCAAATAATTTAGGAAGAGCAACCCAATTATTTGAAATGCACATAAAAATCATGCAATGTACTACTTCAAAAAATATTAAAAGGACTTACTCTCCTAGACTTCGGTCACAAAAGGCAAATGCATTTTAGAAAGAAAAGAAGATCAGTTATGGTGTAAAAATATACAGGACAATGTACCAAAGGGAAATATTAACAGGTTAAATGAAAGCTGTACTATAGATTTGTGAGTGTTCTTTGGCACATGCGCTCAAATTTTAGGATCACTAGTCAAGATTCCACAAATTAGATTCCATGCTCAACACTGATAATGTTCCATTGATTTTCAGGATGGTTACGTTGCATGCCTGCACTCATATTCCTGGTGCAATCAAGAACTGAAATATACTTTTATATCTACCAAGCAGGAAATACAGAATGCAAGCAGTACAAAATTAGATACAAGCTTTATTCCTGGATTATGAGCATAGCTCAGACAAAACAGAACTATGCTCCTAAAACCCCTTGCCTCAACCTGTGCCTTCTTTAGCACCTAAAGCCACAGTCCAGCCAAATTATAGGCACACAGGAAAAAGTACTGCACATGTGCTGGCTGTTCTGTAATTTTTTTTACCAGTCACTTGTACTTCTCAAGGTTCAGACAACTTTTCACTTTAAGGGACTATTCACATGAGGGTTGTTTTACACTGCTGAGTGATTTGCTATTATGCATTTAGCCCAAAGTAGAAATGAAGCTGGGGTTCAACATGGCATTTAATACAGCTCTATAACCTTATTAAAATCCATCCCTATGAGCAAAATCCTACTGTATGTTTATTTAAAAAATCTAAAAATTCATATCCTGCTTTTCTCCCCAGCAGGCACCCAAAGTGGTCTATCATGGTCTATCTCTACCTTATCCTCCCAAAGTGGTCTATCTCTACCTTATCCCCACAACAGCCTTGTGAGGTAGGTTAGGCTGAGAGAGAGCGCCTAGCCCAAGGTAACCCAGGGAGCTTCCATGGCAGAATAATTGAAACCAGGTTCCCCCAGATCCTAGTCCATCAATTAATTAATTATTGTATGGCAGTGTATGTAGTATAGCCAGGAGATCCTAAGATCATCTGGCAGCCAAAAGTACTAGTTCATTTAGCGCTGTGCACCACTAGGTGGCGAGCCAGATTTGTTTTTAAGGCAAGGGATGTTTCAGAGGTGGCTTGCCATTGCCTGCCTCTGTGTCACGACCCTGGTGTTCCTTGGAGGCCGCCCATCCAAATCCTAGCTAAGGCCAACCCTGCTTAGCTTCCGAGATCTGCCGGGATCAGGATAGCCTGGGCCATTCAGGGCCATCACTCCAGCCATATGCCCGGCCATGTTGGCCAAAAAAAAAAAATCAGAAAATTTCCCACCTCCCTGATTTTCCTTCTGTTCCATTGCTTTTAGGCAACTAATTACTTCCTCTTCCCTTGGTGCTAGCTGATTCTCTCCCAGCACTCACTGCTCTTTAAAAGAAGATTCATCTTTTATCCCCTTGGGAAGTAGAGGAACTAAACATTTTTTAAAACTATTTTGTAGCCAGCCGAAGACACTGACCATACTTTTTATTGTTAATTATTATATAGAAATTATTAAATAATGATAATACGTTTTTATTTTAAAATAAAAGCAAGCTACAAACTGCAAAACAAGCCTCCCTCCGCAAACCCCAGGGAAGATTTTACAATTGATTCATGAATACTCAAGAAACCAGCAGACTTATAGAAGAAGAGGAAGAAATTAATTATGCTGGGAAGGGATGAATATGCAAAGTGGCAGTAGCTCTGGGAAATCTCAGACATACACTGGCTGTTCACACACCCTGGCAGTGCAATAGCATTTTAAGTTTTAAAGAATCTCCTAAAAATCAGATCTGAAAAAAGACAGAAAAACAACACAGAAAACAGAACTGCAATGAATAGCCAACAGTGTCATCAGAATTTCCCATTAAAAATGAATGAATGAATGAATGAATGAATGAATGAATGAATCATAGCAATCCTGCACTGTGGCTTGTCTGGGGAGGACTGGTAAGGTTCAGTAATCTTGCTTCTTCAGCAGAGCGTGTGGCTGTAGGGGAAACATCAAGCAAATCTCTGGTCTACATACAACTTCAGCACTCATTGGATCTTGGACAATGATGTGAATACTGAAGCACGTCTACTGTTGAGACAAGTTATCCTCATTCCTTGCTGAATTGAATGGAGTTCAACTCCCACACAAATATAACTAGAGGCACTGCAGGTAGGCCGAAGGTCATCTCTACCATAATTTGGGAAAGAAGTCATAAAGATTTAAACACATTCATTCGGCATTATAAAATCCAGTGACGATAACACAATTTTCAATTTGTTCGTTGATTCAGAGACTGTATTATTTTCCGTCATGAACCTATTTTTCAAGCACACTCTACAAACTAAGGCAGAAAAGGGGGAGGAGGGATATTTTTCCTTATCTTACATATGGAAACAGAAAAGAGTTATTGTCTGGCCTAAAAAAGATTAAAACCTATAGTTGGTGGCAGACTCTCGGCCCAAGAGGAGTGTTTGCCCCTTAACGCCTCGTACACACAAGCGTAGAGGATTCAGAAAATCGTCACACTATCTGAAAGGGTACTAGTTCCAACATCATGTTTTGTTTCCACAGGGTGCATTTTCTAATGCTTCAAAATTTTGTACCTATACAATTTATTCAAGCGTGATTCAAGAACAAATATCCACTGTCTAGTTTATAGGATTGTCCTTGACCAAACTGCATTGATATGGCACACTGAATCAAAAATGTTTTTTCACTTGTATGCATCTCTGGGAAGCATTCCAAAAGCCATCACTTGGATGCAAAACATGATATCTGAACTCTTCCTGAGTAATTCAAATAATCCACAGTTGGTATATGCTTGGTGCTACCTTAATGAGAGGCAAGCAAGGAAGTCTCTGGGAAAAAAGAAAATGTCTTCCAGAACCTCTCTAAGAAATCTATATATGACTGCAATGAACCGCTTAAAAAACCAGAGTTCTGATTTCATGAAGATGGCGCTAAAAAGTACCCAAAACTTTAATATTCACATTATAGAAGTATCACCCTACATGCTCACCTCTTTCTGATCAACTTGAAGTGCAGATTTTAAAATATCCCTAAGCTGAATTAATTGTTTTCTTTCTTCATCTTGTGCTTGCTTGATCTGAAGTGGAGACATAATCAGAATTCATAATTGGATAAGTCCTGCTTGTCACTAGCACACATTTGGGCACAACATAAACTGAAGATAATGCTACCCACAGATTACTCTTAACCAAAATATGAAATTGGAATCTGAAACTGGTTATCAAGTCTACGTTAAGAGGGAAGCTGGCACTGATCACGGTTAATGTTGATCAGGGCTCTAGTCGGGGGGGAGCTCTCAGGTACGGAGCTCCGGAAGAGAACCTCTAGGGGGCGGGGCGGTCACGTGGTGAAGCCCCGCCCCCTTCTTTACCCCGCCCTCTGCTTCGATCCTCATTCCGTTTGGGAATGAGGATGAAGCAGGAGGGTAAGTAGCCGGGCCTTCTGACACACTTCCGGTGATGTCAGGGGGTGTGGCCTTCTGTCACTTCCGGTGATGTCAGGGGGCGTGGCATATGCAAATAAGTTATGCTAATGAGTTATGCTAATGAGCTCCGGCAGCTCTTTTTCTACAACAAGACCCCTGATGTTGATGTCGATGTCACAAGGTAAAGGGTGTGTGTGCCAGTGATAATTTGCCAATGTGAATGCGGTGGCTAGGTACAGATGCTGATGTAGGTAATCTTTTACCTATGGTTACATCAGGATCTGTACCTTGAAGAGTTCATTGCTTAAACTGTCCAATTACACTGGTAAGTTATGCATCAAGCATAACATTATGAGAAAAGCATGAGGAGTAATTTCCATATCACTCTGACATTTCAAAAAGTACAGCATGTTAAATTGTGTGATAAATCTAAATAAATTAACACTGTAGCCCTATTCATATTTACTTAGAAGTAAATGCAAGTGTCTTTGGCAAAATATGGCTTTAATGACAATGGCATTTTAATTTTTTTTTAGTAGAATCAGAATGCTACATTTCACAGTGCCCACATGACTTTCTACTTACTGTGTGAAGGTCTGTGGAGAGCTTTTCTATCGAAGGTTTGAGGCTTTCAACCGCTTTCAGACCATCCTGAAAGAAGCTTTGGAAGAAAGTAACTTAAAAAAAAAGGAAACTGTAAAAATTAATTTAAAGCACCTGAATTTTGCTGAACAGACAAGGCACAAAAGCTTCGATTAATATATATGTTAATGTACTCCACGACAGACTGATGAAAAGAGGAATTCTGTGAAGGAACTTTATCGCAAACATATCTACCTTCTGATATGAAATAAAAGGGACTGGCAAGTAACACCCAATAACACTGGGTGGAGAGCAGCTCATCTTAGAGATTTCCATAATGAGGAAGGAGGAAAAGGTTACACGAAAAAAAATTATCACCCTCAATCCCCTAGGCCCCTGTTTGATGCTCTGAGGAAAAACAGATGTTTATGATATCCCCATTGCTATTTTTGTTCCAATAATATTCTGCATTTCTACTAGATTCTTACTTACATAAAACAACCAAAAGTGGAAATTGACCAGCTGCCAAATTTTAATGAAGAAAAAAAAGACTGACATGAGTTGCAGCAGTCTGAAAGGGCTTAAAAATAGAGACAGAAGAGTATTCTCTTTCACATCAAATAAAACATCCCCTTTATGATCTCATTATGGAGTAATTGGCTGTGATCCAATGTAGCCATTTATGCCCCTCAGGTATGGGAAATGCACCCATGGAAGCGCTCTTTGGAGTCTCAGCTGTTGCAGCTTCCACAACAAAACAAGCCACTGTTCAGTCTTGCTGATTGTTAAAGAGCTGTAGCAATGAACGCTACAAAGAAATTTCTAGTTTACCTGCCTATGGTTTCCTGAGGCACATCTAAACTATCTCTCTTTCTTCTATGTGAGAACACCTGCAATGGATCATATAAGCCCTTAGATAACTAAGAAATTAAAGCACCTTGCATTTCTACTTGAACGCAGCAGCCCGGATTCCGTAGCTCCTTGCACATTCGGGAGCATTATGCACATGGAGCAAACAAGCACTGCAGGTTCACTCCCAGTGGCATTCTTCCATGAATGAAACAAAAGGAATCTTTACTCATGCTCATGTGTGCAGGGGGATTCCTGTGAGGCTCCAGACTGGGTGGTAATGTTTAATGCACACACAGAGCTGAATGGCAGAAAGACACACCCACCAGCCTCTAAAATGGCCCTGTAGATGTAGGAAGTTTAGAATTTGGAATTTTTATACATAATTGAGCATTTCCACTCTTTTTTTTTTTAAGTTTCTAGCCCTAGCAATAACACAATGATTTTTGAAGCTGTGTCAGCAATCACCAGAAGCCAGAGGGTTATACAGGCAGCTCCACGCACACACAGGGCTCCTGAATCCCAGTCCCATCCCAACCCCCAAAGAAGCACCCACATGCAGAACCATCTGAATACATGCATATTTTTTACATCTCATCAGGGCTTTTTTTGTAGAAAAAGCTGAGCAGGAACTCATTAGCATAACAGGCCATACCCAACAGCAGGAACTCCTTACCATATTAGGCCACACCCATTACAGCACAGCTCATTAGCATATTAGGCCACACCCTGTGTTACCAGAAGTGTGGTCATCCAGCCACACCCACCTTTTGCTTCTTATTCTGTTTACCTTGTGTGTTGTCAAAACCCAGGGCTTTTTTTGTAGCAGGAACTCCTTTGCATGTTAGGCCACACACCCCTAATGTAGCCAATCCTAATGAGTTCCTGCTGTTGGGTGTGGCCTATTATGCTAATGAGTTCCTGCTGGGTGTGGCCAACTTGGGAGCCAGCCGGAACTCCGTTTCTGTGCGTTCCTGCCCCAAAATAGCATTGCATCTCATTAACTGTTTATTGAAGGCTCAGAAATCTGAGGCAGCCTGGGACCAACGTATCTGAGGGACCGCCTCTTCCCGTATATGCCCCAAAGAGCACTACGCTCTATGGATCAACACCTCCTGGTAGTCCCTGGCCCAAAAGATGTCCATCTTGCCTCGACCAGGGCTAGGGCCTTTTCCACACTGGCCCCTGACTGGTAGAACATGCTCCCCATTGAGATCATGGCCCTGCGGGACCTACTTCAATTCCGCAGGGACTGCAAGGCAAAGCTGTTCCACCAGGCCTTTGGCTGAAGCAGCGGATGTCTATATATGGCCTCCCTGAGGTCTCTGTCACTCTGTTAACAACTACTGGCTATGGCCAGGAACCTCCCACAACCGGAAAATTTCTTTGCTATTAGCTGTGACCACCATTTTAATATTGATGATGACATTTTAAATTTAAATTTTATTCTATTAACTAATATATTTTGTATAAATGAGATGTTGTTACCCACCCTGAGCCCACTTCTGGGAAGGGCGGGCTATAAATGTGAAGAAACAAACAAACAAACAAGGATGCCATCCTCCAGGTGGGACCTGGGGATCCCCCAGAATCATAGCTCATCTCCATACTACAGAGATCAGTTCCCTGGAGAACATGGATGCTTTGGAAGGTGAACTATATGGCACTGTACCCCACTGAGATCACCAGGCTCCATTTCCAAATCTCCAGGATTATTCCAGCCTAGATTTGGTAACCGTACCCCTCCATCCCCTGTCGGTGGCCAGGGGGGACCTGGCAACCCTGCGAGAAGTTAGACCCTGCCCTCCCTGCTGAGGTTTCCCCCCTTTCCTTTATTTGCTTCTTTCCAGAATTTCTATATCACTTTTCAGTCACTGCTCCCAAAGCACTGTTCAGAGCAGTTCCATTAAAAAAATCTCAAACTGGTAGATTACATTGGACATAAAAATCAAAGCAGACAAAAGAATTATCAAATGTGTGATAAACTCCTGCAGAAAGGAGGACTCCTGTCTGCAGAAGCATGCCTTTTCCATCTACTCTTCTTGCTACAACACCCCAAAATGCCCCTAGAAATACTGTTTCTGGAGGATGACAGGAACACCCATATTATCTTGGGGACACTCGGAGGTTTGCTGTAGGGAGGGCAAATTAGTGAAAATCAACCCCCCTCCCCCAGGTCTACACGGGAATTTTAGCCAGGACCCAAATTTATCAATACACAGCAGCCATCTGTACACAAAGGAATTAAAAAATGAACTCTTCCTAGTGAACAGATACAGTTACAGGAAAGACAGCATGTGGCGCTGGTATCAACCTAGCATGGTACACAGTACTCTGCTTTAAAAACTTGGGAAGTATATAAGAGATATCCAAAACTTCTCTCTTCAAGGCAAAACTGAAAGTTAGGTGACATTTACAGGCTTCCCAATCTGATGTTTATCTTGTAATGCTCATGCAGCGCTGCTGTGGCAGGAGGCTCGTGCAAGAGAGAAGCAGATGTTAGCAGGGGATGCTCTAGCCTTCCTCCCACCCACATTCTCCCCTCCAAATGTCCCCACCATCTGGTTATTGCCCAGCCAGGCTTACGGCCAGTCTCAGAGCCTAGCTAGGGAGAAAATGGCTGGAGGGGCATTTGCAAGGGAGAAGGGGAAGGCTTGCCTAATACCCTACTGCCACTTCCAAATCATTCATCCTTTAGCGTTTCAGTATTGAAAAAGAGTAAGAACTCAGAGCTGTCAGAACACTAATCCCTAATTGAGCATTTTCCCTTTGGAAAAAAATCAGGTCTGTCACTAGACACATACTCTGCAAAATGTGAAAGCTATTACAACTGCCTGCCTCCTTCCTTTTCACAAAGAGATTACTAATCATGCCAAATGACCATGTGGAAATTATGGACTGCAGACAACTGCGTGCTATGGCTTAATGCTTCATTTCACTTAAAACAATACACCAAACAAGACAATAATTGACCTTTACAACCATTTGATGGGGAAACAGCAGCAGAATATAGGTACAGCTGAACCACAACCATCTGAATCTTCAAAAACATTTGTGTCCACAATTAGCTGATATGAGGAAGACATAAATATGTTTCAAGAAAAATATTACCACAAAGATATAAAAACCTACTTGCACTGTGCATGGAAATACTTGATAAGGTTTTGAAGCAAGTCAACTCCTTTTTTAATCTTGATTTCATTGACTTTCAACAGGTACTGTAAAAGACAGAAAGCACGCAACTGACATTAATTATAGTTTTAGAACAAATCCCAGGGCTAGTAATTTTTAAACCTCCTTTAACCATAGCTTGAAGACTCTTCAAAACATTAGCATTTGGAGACAAATATATGCTGAAAAAATTCCTTCAGCCATCAAACATAAGCAAGGGAACTACAGGGCCATGTTCCAAAGAACAAGTTGTGAATGAGCAGAAAAATCTTTTCTAGTAGTTGATAGTAAAGAAAGAGAATCAAATAACCCTGAAGCTATCTGTTCCTCTTTGTTCATGAGAACATTATTTCAGCTACAGAACTGTTCCTACTGGTCACTCTTGTGCCTAAAAACATAATGTGACAAAGACATTATGCGCATATACTGAGTGGCTTGGAAGTACTTGTGTGTTTTGCAAAGTAGTTCAGCGAAAAACATCTTACATTTTGAGACAAGGGAACAATTTGTGGGAATGGTCCTATGACTTCAGAGTGCAGCATAGGAAACAATCCTCAAAAGGTTTCTATGTGAACTCTCTCCAAAACTAAGAATACTGAAAAGAATCAAGAAGGAACAGTGGCTAGTAGGAGAGCTGCAATACTGCAGTGAAGAATAGGCTATGCGGTTTCCCCAGTAACTCACAAGAAACACAGATAGCATGTTAATAGGAAACCTCGTCCCAAGAACCAAACGAAAGGAATGAAAGGACGCATACCTGGTTCACACGTAACAGCAAAACCTTGGCTGGCCTCTCCCATTTCCAATCCCTGCCCTTCTGGTTCTGACAAACTGTGGTTTGGATTCACTGTAGCATTTCTGTGGATGGAAGGCTTTCTGCTCACAAAACACAACTTGCTCACCTCCACCCCCAACTGCAGTCTCAAATGTCCCCCCAAATGCTGCTCCTTGAGGACCTGACCCCCCCCCCCCGGAGCAGCTTTTTGGGGCCATGTTGGGCTGCAGCAGAACAGGAGAGGCAGCAGAAGTCACAGCCTGCAGGCAGAAATCCTTCAGTCCATGGAAATGCTCAAATGGACCCATGCAATTATAATTTGCAATTATGTCCAAACCAGCAACTTGCTGGGCTGGATCCAATAGATCCAGTCCACTAATGGCATCACTTTCTTCTGGTGCAAGGAGCCATCCTCCAACACAAGACTGGTTTCTACAGAAGATTAGTTTCTTACTTACATGCCTTATTAAAGAAGCAAGGTATTGTATTCAGCCAACCACTGGTGGAAGGCAGGGACAGACACAGCACTCCCCTTCCTTTCAGCAGCAGCCCCTTTAGACCCATGAGAAGATTGTCCCTGGTGTTGTGGGACCTGTGTGGATAAGGCAGTCATCCGGGGGGGGGGGGGATGCAGCAAGGATCCTCCTCTTCTACCCACCAATTTCTTCCCCCTCCTCACTGTAGCCTGCCAATCTTATTGGCTCCTCACTCACACAGCTACTACAACCTGAGGAACAATCTGTCCAGAGGTCTAAAGGAATTGCAGTAGGGAGGGGAATGCTGAGAAATCCCACAGTGCAAGCCTACAACACATTCCCAGTTCTCCAAACCAACCTATTATTGTACAGAAGCCAGGCTGGCTGTGGCAAGGGCAACATCAGGGCCCTGCGGGACCTTCTACAGTTCCACGGGGCCTGCAAGACGGAGGTCTTCCACCAGGCCTTCGATTAAGGAGGCGCACTATATATCAATATTATCAATATTAACATAATATCAATAATAATATCAATATCAACATCATTATAAACAGCCGAATACAACCCAGACTACGCTAGCAGCTGATGTACTGTTGAATACTGCTCATGCCCGCCATCACATATGAATCATCCTAGTTCTAGCAGTTTGTATGTTTTATGCGTATATTGTTATGATTTTAGTTAAATTTGTTTTAGTTGTGCAATATCCTATGTAAGCTGCCCTGAGCCTGCTTTGGCGGGGAGGGCGGGGTAGAAAGTAAGTAAGTAAATAAATAAATAAATATGTGGGAAAAGAACCAAATTTAAAGCTGCAGTTAATATACCATGCTTTTATGGGAAAATCCATAAGGCAGCGAGTTCATTAAAACCCTAGAGGGCATCAGCACCTCTTTTCCAACAGCTGTTAAATTTCCCTACTTAACCAAGTAAAATGAGATTTTCCTCTCCCAACAATACTGCAGCAGATGGCAACTTGCATAGGCACAGGAGTCAATCCTCTTAGTCTAGGGTAGGACTGTTGGAAAGGCTTTGCCTGTTTGGTTTGTTTTTAATCCACAAATAATGAACTAGGCAGCTTGCCAATTTAACAACTGTTTGTGGAAAGGGCAACAAACACTTTCCTGAAGTTGACACATCCAGATAATTTCAAAATCCTTTTGAAATTAACACTTGCCAGATAACTGCAGACCAAGATGAAATTATGAATGATAGTGACAATGAAATGGGCTCCATTTTTTACCTCACACATTTGTAACTGGAAGAACCTTCTCTCTTTTTCCATCTCTTCAGCTATTTCAGCCCCACTTATTTCTGTACGGATCATCCCATGCAATTTAGCATGTTCCTTTTTCTCTTTTTCTATTTTTGTCCTGTAGGGAAGAAACCAATAAAACCAGGCTGTTAGCCCAAATATTCTTCCTCAGTTTGTTCAACAGTTCTGCTGAACATTCTAAACTGGGGTAGGCTACCCTTGACATTGATATTAAATAGACACAGGGACCCATTCCTTCTTTATCCTACCAGACTTTTTTGCTTGGTATGCATAGCTGGTTATCCACCCAATCACCTGAGGTAAGCCCATGAGGTAATGGCAGCATCAGTAGGGCCAATAGCTTGGGGAAAAGTGACAGGCATGATTAACGTTCATTGTCACCTCCAGGTCCTGAGGCAAGTCCCTGAGGCTCTCTCAGCAGTGCTGTAGCTTACTCCCCTGCCCCCCCTTTTTGGCTGCCAACCTCTCAGATAGACTACGTATGCCCCCCCCCCCCCCAGCTTTGGAGACAAAAGGCTGCCTGCCCCTGTTTTAAAATATGATCCACAGCCAGCCCCCTAGCCAGAAATGGGTTTTTGGGGAGGGGACATGGGAGAGCAGACCAGAAGTGGCAGGGTAGCTTCCCTTTCCTTCCTCCGCCTCCCCTCCACTGTGGGGTCTGGGGAAGGAAAGAGAGAGAAGGCCGGGTCTGGGGAAGTCTGGCATCCTTCTGCGGTGGAACAGGGCTAATCTATGGTGGGGCTCCACCCCCAAATTCCCCACTCTAGCTTTGGGCCAGTCCGCAACCAAATTTATTCCAGAGCAGTGTAAGAGTGCTACCTCTACATCAACAAGTTGCACCCTGATTTTGAATTGCCTGTGCCTACCTGCATTCAGGCCAAACATGTCCTAAACGTGCAAAATAAAGGCTAACTGGGGCTGGAGGGCATGCTATTCTCCAAACACCAAATCCAATACCAACCCATTCCCTTCATGTGGGATTTCTAAAAAAATATCAATCAGGAAATGTTCCAGTGTTCTAAATAAAGACCGGTCTGGTTTAGCATATTTATTCTGACTTCTATTTAATAAACAAAATTGTAAAACTTTAGCATGCTAATTTTATGTCCTACCAGCAATAAATACTTGAACTGAAATATTTGATTAGGGGGAAAATCAAATCCTTGTAAACTTTTAAAGACAATACAGCACATACTTCACTTGCTATGTTTTTAAAAAAGGGATAGGGGTAAGCTATTGACACACTACTTTTAGCAGACCCAGGGTGTGACATGCCATGGATGTGGCTGTCCACTCATCTATCTCAACAGAATTTAGGTCTTGTCCATGGAGACCACTGGGGTACCTGAGTTTCACTCTCTGTAGCGTTACTTGTTAGTTTCATATCAGAGTGGTGATCACAATATCTCCTCTACCATGCAAGAGAAGGCATATAAATCAGAATTTTTAGCTTTCATTTTGATTTGACCAACATAGCTGATCAGGTGAACTCATCATAACTTGATTCTGTATTTAGATTATATATTTGTGGTTTTACCACCCTCCTCTACCACCCTGTGATACAAGCCACAAAATATACATGTACTCCTTCACACTCTTCCTATGGATGATGATCTGAAAAACCCTAACTCTGTAACTGCCAAGCTTGCCTGATATTATATAAGCCATGGCATCCATTCATTGCTTATTTTATGAAACAACAAACCTTTAGAAATGGGGGGGGGGGAGATAGGTTTGCCAAGTCCCCCCAGGGGGCAGGGAAACCCCCGCCCCAGAGGCCCGTTCCCCACCGCTGGCGGATCGGGCCCCGGGGGGAACCCCACCCCGACGTGCACATCACCCAGAAGTGACGCGACCACGCCGAGCATGCTGGGGGTGGGGCCACGGTCATCCGAGGGAAAACTTATCAGCTTTACAGAGCTTTCTTTATCAGGATTCACTTTCTCTGAGTGAAGCTCCCCATACCCTCCCACCCCCCCACCCGTCTCCTCTGGCCAAACCAGAGCAACAGCTGTGATTCCTTCCTGTTGCTGAGCTAGCTGGCACTATGAATACAAGCAAAGACGGCTGGGTTTGATGGTTCCAAGTCTTACTAGTCCAGCTGCCCTGGCTATCCAAAGGTCACTGCTCATGTTCTATAAGGCCTGTCTTGATTAATGAGTGACAAAATGGCTGAGCCCAAACAGGAAAATCAAGACCTACGAAACAAAAATAGTTCATTGGGATGAGTGTCTTCATTGTCCCCTCAAATGTGTTTATGGTTACCCAGATTTAATATTCTGGAAAAGACATTAATGAACCAACTGTATTAAAATAAAAGATACACTGTGGAGTTATTACTATTATATCCTCAAAGGCACAGTATGCATGAACATTCCTTAGAAGGAGATTTCCTAAGAGACAGAAAAGCTCAGTGTGAAAAGGGCAGCTCGGTAAAAAGAGCACAGGGTGAGATCCGGGTTTACTGGATTCAGGAAGTGATTTGCTGTCCTGGGCTGCCCTGTCCACAGCCTGTGCCTGATGCTGTAGGATGTCCATACACATCCATCATTTCAAACAATATGCAGCATCTTGCAGGATATGCAAAGGAGGAGAGACTGGTGCTGAGAAAGGCTTTTCTTTAGAGGATGTTGTCAGGAAATTTGCTGGAATCTATTCTAAGTTTCCATAACCACAGCCATAATGGATCAAAAGAATGGCACATCCATCTTGTCCCAAACAGTCTTCCAATTTCAACGCTTCAGAAAGTCTTAACAACTCAAGGCACTAAAAAATACTCCATTCCGTATCATATATTTCCAGTCCTGGAAGTATAACTTATCAGGTCATACTGTAAACAATCTTCTTCTTTCTTCTTCTTCTCTGGCACTTTCACTCTCCTGCATCACAGACAGCCCAGGTTAGTCTGATCTCATCAGATCTCAGAAGCTAAGCAGGGTCGGCCCTGGTTAGCATTTGGATGGGAAACCACCAAGGAATACCAGGGTTGCTATGCGGAGGTAGACAATGGCAAGCCACCTCTGTTAGTCTCTTGCCTTGAAAACCCTAAAGGGTCATCATAAATCAGCTACAAGTTGACAGCAAAAAAAAAAAAAGTAATGGCAAACCCAAAATTTGCAAACAGAGCAAGAAATGGGTAGCAATTATTGTTTGGGTTAACTGTACTTAGTATAAACACTGGTGCTCTGCTATTGAAACAAAATGAGTCATATCATGCAAGAGGGGAGGTGTGCGCAAGCTGGACAGGGTGCTCCTGATCACTGAACCCATCACTAGGAGATCAGAGATCCAGGTGGGCAGCCGTGCTGGTCTAAAGCAGTAGAACAAAGTTTGAGTCCAGAGGCACCTTTAAGACCAACAAAGTTTTCTTTGTGTGCACGCACACTTCCTCAAATACAGTGAAATGGAACTTACCAGTCCATACATATAGGCAGAGGTTGAGCAGAAAATTAGCATACAACATAATGAAGATATTTATCAGAACCAGGAATAACAAGCTTGGTTTATATGGTTACCATTTAACATAATGAAGATATGTTAACAGATGCAAAAACCAAACAGAGATAACAAGTTAAGTCCACATGGTCATCATTGTTTGGATTTAATTCCTGGGAAAACACACAAAGGCAAATCAATATGTCAGACTAGGAGACTGATGTGTAAATGTATCCTTCTTAATTGTGGAATACTAAGACCAAATAACTGGGACCCTGTTGTTACACTACATTCATCTCCTCTCAAGATTGGAGATCAGAGAGTATAATATCAGCACTAAACCTCTCTGAAATAAGGCAAAGAGCTTGTTTTCTGAAAATACGAGGCTTCCACTGCACTGTAAATGCAGTCGATCATGTTATCAAGCTACTGTGAGTATGCAAGCCCCAGTTTTGAGGGTCCTGTTAAAGTCACAGTTGTTTGCTGGAAGTGTGAACAGAATTCACAGACATTCCTTTCCCATACGTTTTCTCAGCATGCCATGCTGTTAATGTTTAAGCATATAAAGGAAGGTGCAGCACAACAAAAACAAGGCAGAGCTCAATTTTTCAGACCAGCCAGATCTAGCCAAAAGGCCCATGGCAGTTTTACCATAAAACACTAAGTAGTTTTTGTAAGAGATGAGCACCGCAACCCTAGAGTCGGATTCGACTGGCTTTCGAGCAAGGGAACCTTTACCTTTACTTTAGTTCTTGTAAAAGCAAAAACTTCCAAGCTATAGCAAATTAAAAACAAAGCTTTGCAGTCCATTCAACAAAGCCGATGAAGCGAGACTTCCGGCGGATGCGGCGCTGCGCTCGGGCGCGTCTCTCGGAGCTCCCGAGGACGGCCCCTCCCGCGCGCCTCTTCGGAGCCCCCCGAAGTTCGGGGGAGCTCTGCTCGCTTCTCCCGGAGGGAGAGCGAGAGCAGGAGGCTTGGCAGGTCCCCCAAGATGATCCTATTCCCCCTCTATGGATTTCCTATTGGTATGAAGAAAGCGGCCGGGACTATGAAAAGGACTTTATATTAAATGCGTCTGAAGGGGTAAGAGACTAAAATTTCGTTTATTTCATACTTGAAGCTGATAACCAGAAAACTCTTTACCATTACGATAAGGGAAATCAGATTACAGAACGAGAAGAAATGGCGGCGGCGCTACTTAGTGAGGCAATAAAAGCCGAACTTAGAGAGGCAATAAAAGCCGAAATGAACTCTGAGCATTTCCAAACACTTCTAAACGTGAAACTAGAACTAGCACTACAACAAGTATGGACTAAAATTTTTAAAGAACCTGCAAACATTTCTATTGAGGATAATGACAACACCAATATTCTATTACAAAAAAAACAGGGGCTGAGTGACAACTACGAAAATAACTCGGAGGAAGAACAGTCTACTGGGCAGTGTGATACTCAAATGCCGACAGCTGAAGCTACAGAAGCAAATGACCCCCCAAAAGACATTTCTCAGAAAGGAAATGACTCTAAAATAAAAAAGAGAGAAAAAGGGGACCCAAGCCTTTAAGAAGATATAGGAGGACACTGAGGAAAGACAGAATAAGGAAAGAGACTAAGAGGATAGTGAATTGCAAACAAAGGAAAAATTTGGAGGGGCCCTTCCCTAAGGAATATAAAACCTCAAGGCATCTACAAGAAAGTGGGAAAAATGAGATCAAAAAGGAAATGGAACTTGGAGCCAACAAAATATTTTATATGGGACTTATTCCCGTCTCTCTTTATTGAATCTGTCTAATTAACATGAATGGAATATTAAACCTGTATTGAAATGTCTTTGCTATTTAGAAGTTGTCTTTAAGAAATAGGATTTTGTATTGGAAACTCTGTAAGAAGATAGTAGTAGTCAAATGAATATGTTCAGGACCTTAGTTGAAGTGCATGTATGATGGGAACATAGGGAAAAAAAATTAATAGGAATAAATTTTTTGAAATTGCCTAGTTGATTTATCTCCGATCTTTGGAAGATGTCAGGAAATTGCGGCTATTGCTGGAGGAACTGTTTTGCTTCTTTATTTTGCCCATGTTAATCAAATGATAGGAGGTAATTAAATGTTGAGATATTCCCTTTATGTATTGCAAATTCTGAACGAAGGGTGAATTGGATTTCAACTGCATTGGCTAAATGAAATTAAATAAATATAAACTAATCAGTGGTAAAAGTAGACATGGAGACTAAGCTGGATATAGTATTAGGAGTTGATTATTTTTATTATTGATCAAGTATATTTATAAAGAGATGATGAATTGCAACAGTAATTGAAAATGTTATACAAGAAATGTATTAAAAATGGTGATACAGAAATTAATAATATTAACAAACTGAAGTTGGGTGGTGGTTTACATGGCTGTATGTCTGTATATTTGTTTTGCTGTTGTTTTACGTTTGTAAGTGATGGAAATTTAATAAAAATTCATTAAAAAAAAAAAACAAAGCTTTGCAGTCTCCCAAACACACACACAAAGAGTTTTCCTTTAACAATATATCTGTGCCATCAATGATCTAACATCACAGGATTCAAATTAGCATGAGCAGAGCTCTGCATTCGCCTATCTCCTCCCATTGCAGTCCTGTGTGTCCCCTGAGATACTATCCCTGGGGTTCAGTGGACCTTCAGGAACACTGCTGGTTGTGATACGGGAGTTTGCAATGGGAGAGGAAATTAGCATCTTCCATCAGCGCAAGTGCCCTGCCCTTCTGCTACCAGAAAGCAAGTACTGACTTCAACACAGTATTTCCATGTAACAAAAAGTAGATTCATGCCATTATTGTGGAGCTCCCCAAATCGCATTCTAGAAGCACTTCAAAACCTATTTTAAAACTTGGGTTAGAGTACTTGGGTGATTTAAGCAGTATTTACTATTGCTACTATATTACAGCATTTATTACACTACTACGTTGAATGTCTCATTTAGAATGTGTTGGTTTTATAAAAAACATGTTTGTATTTTAAAGATATGAGCACATTCATCATTGTTTACATCCAATATATGAAGTAATGGCCCTGAGAAAGAGTTTCTTGACTCAAAACGCATCCACTTAATAGACTGATTCATATGCAGTCTTTTTTTTAATATTTGTGTGTGAGAGTGTGTGTTTGTGCGCTTGCCTGGAAGTCATGGTTGACTTCTGGTGACCCCTACTGTGGGCCTGGATGTTTTTCAGAGAGGTGGCTTGATTAGGCTGCCTCTGCATCCCGCCTCTGGCATTCCTTGGAGGTCGCCTTTCCAAGTACTTGCCCGAGTCAGCCTTGCTTAGCTTCTGAGATCTGACAAGATTGGGCATGCCTGGGCTATCCAGGTCAGGACAGCATTCTTGAGATACCTTCTCTTTGTTTCCTGCATCTGGTAAATTCCTTCCTCACATCCCTTTTATCAGCCTCTGCTAAATCCCCAAAAGCAGCAGTGTAGGTGCTTGTCAGTGAGTGCTCCTGAACAGGAAGCAATTATAGAGACATAAAACCCTCCATATACATACACACATCCCTTGTGCACTACAGGCTAAGCACAGGTCTTGGAGAAACTACGACTGAGGGGTGACATGATAGAGGTTTACAAAATTAATGCATGGGATAGAGAAGGTAGAGAAAGAAGTACTTTTCTCCCTTTCTCACAATACAAGAACTTGTGGACGCTCAATGAAATTAATGAGCAGTAGGCTTAGAACAGATACTTCTTCACCCAAAGAGTAATTAACACGTGGAATTCCCTGACGCAGGAAGTGGTGGGGGCTACAAGCATAGACCGCTTCAAGAAAGGACTGGATAGCTATCTTTTTTTAAAAAAAGAAGAAGGGACTGGATAAACATATGGAGCAGAGGTCCATTAGTGGCTATTAGTCACAACGTACAGATGGAACACTATGTCTGGGGCAGTGATGCTCTGTATTCTTGGTGATGGAGGGGCAACAGTGGGAGGGCTTCTGGAGTTCTGGCTCTGCTGGTGGACCTCCTGATGGCACCTGGGTTTTATCCACTGTGTGACACAGAGTGTTGGACTGTATGAAGTCACTGGCCAGATCCAACATGGATCTTATGTTCTTAAAAGTTAACATCACAGGATAGGCTGATATTCCTACTCAATTATTAAAGCCCTAAAAAAGAAGTCATACTCAAGTGACAACAACTGGAGAATTTAGTTCTACAGATTTCCATTAAATGGAGATCAAGTTCAGACATGCATATTTTTCACTCAAATATTGCATAATGACTTGCATGTGTGAAACAGCCATCATAGCTCAACCACTAGTCTGAGCTTCTATATCAAACAATGAGTCATGTGCAGTACCTTTCAAAGGAGCCAGTTCACACGTTCAGCTGCAAGCCACAGAATGATATACACACACGGATGAGCATGCGCCAACTAATCTGGAACTGCACAGGGATATGTCCTTGCAACTTCAGCTTCAAGTCTATGGGCTTTTCTGCATGGATTTCTTTCATCAGTTCAGGCCCCATACTGCTTTGTTTTATTCCCTGATTTCTGCATGCATTTTTGTGCCTCTAGTTTTCACTTTGGGTTTTTTGTTTTTCCCCCAAAGGTTTTCCATTTCTTTTGAGACCACTTCTACCCTGATCTTTTTCTGGAAGCCAATTTTCAGCTGCTTTTTCCCTCATGTGTAATTTTTCTGTCAGTTTTCTTCGTCCCATCCACTCACACACACCTCTAGCCCTCTTTCTGATGATCATCAAACCGCTCCCTCCCACCCTGAAGACTAGTAGTTTCATTTTTTTAAAAGGCACAACAAGATTGATATACTGATGTAATGACAGGTCAAGCAGGTTCTCTGACTTCCCAGCTTTCTTTTCTTTTTTTCTTCAAAAGTCAGTCTCTGGCAGTGTTCCCTCTAAGCTGAGTTAGTGTGAGCTAGCTCACAATTTTTTAGCCTCCAACTCACACATTTTTGTCTTAGCTCAGGAAGGATGGTTCCAGAGCAAACTAATTTATGCAGTAGCCAAATTGCTACTGACTCATAGGGGGAAACATTTCAGCAGGCTGCAGTTGGAGGGGGCAGGTCAAAAGGTTCCCTTCCATGGATACTCCTGTACTTGAGTAGCAAAATATCAAAGCAATGATTTTCTGAGGCTCTTATTGTAGAATAAAAGAAAGCACGTACACTTTTGTCTCATAGTCTTTCCAAGCTTTATCAAAAGGTTTCTTCAGGTCCTGTGAAAATAAAAAGATGATCCAATTATTCAGACATTCTGTTCTTCTAATCACCCCAAATCTATGTTGGTAGGGGTCTAGGCAGTAAAGAACACCCTCTCCAAACACAAACGATGTTAGTGATGTTTCTCTAGGCTTTATTATATGCTTTAATGGAAGTTTAAACATCTTGAAGACCATCATACAGGAGTTCTAATCCAAATAGGAATTCCACAGAGCAGTTGGGCTACAGGTTTATCACTGAAGACACGAATAGCAGCAGGGACATATTGACCCCTGTGGGCGCTAAAGAAGTGGGCTACAGCTGACATACTGCACTTTGCCAGGTTAAGTGCCTGATTTCGATGGTATGTCCATTTGTTGCTGTATTAAAAGGTGACTCCTAGGTATCTAGAGACTTTCAATAAATTTGCCCTTTACACTTCAACAGTGACATATCCAAGTGATGGAAAAGACCATGATTTTTGATTTTTCAAAATTGACAAGGAGTAGGTTGGAGTCACAGAAGTCTACAAATGTAGTCAAAAGGCGCTTGAGGCCCAGTTGGGTGTGAGGTAGCACCACGGCCTCATCTACGTAGAGTAGAAGAGAAATGTGAGGGCCAAGTCTAGGAAAATGGCCCTCCACAGTCCTCAAGGTAGGTGCTAGGTCATTCATAAGGAGACTGAACAAGTAAGGGGCCAATACACATCCTTGTTTGACCCACCAGTTGGTGGGGATCTTGCTGGTTAAATCACCCTGGCCACTGCAGCTCACCTGACAGCTAGTCAAAGAATACAGTTTGTAAATAAAAGAGTAGTCTTTTGTCTTTGAGCACCTTATCCAATTTGCTCCACAATAAACTTCTGGATATTGAGTCAAAGGCCCCCTTTAAGTCGATAAAAGCACAGTACAATTCCCACCCCCCAGCACCTCCATATTTCTCCACTAAGTAGGCAAGCATAATACAATGATCAAGCACAGATCTATCAAGCTTTTCTCCATTACCAAATTACAGTAGGTAGAGTCCAAGAAGAGAACACAACTTCCCCACCTCCCTTCTTCTGCTGCAGCCCATTGTGTACCCCCCCCCAAAAAAAAACACACCTCAAGGGAGGAGGTACACATTTTTCTTCAACTAAACTCAAAATGAACTCATAACAGTGATCATAATGAAAACATGTGTTTTGTTGTTGTTTTTAAAAAAAGCACACACTTACCCCTTTAACTCCTTTTAGATCTCCCTTCAGCAAACTGTCCAGTGGAAAGGTTATTATGTTGTTCATATTCTGGATCTACAACAAATAACGAAGACATGTTTAACCATTTGCACACCCAGGTTCCATTACTTTATCTGACAGATCTAGAAACACTCAAACCTTGAGGAATGAACAAGTCAAGATATATGGAACTATAAACTTTAAAGAACAGGCTTTGCAATGTCACTGTAAAGCACAGCCATGCCTTATTCAGTAAACACAGGTTAACCAGGAACCCCTCATGTTCCGTACTCTCTGCTTTGCTCTCGAAGAGACACCACTTTCCACATATGCAGAGAAATACAAGCAAATGAGGTATGATCTTCTTAAGTGTCTGGAAGCAGCTGGTAATGGCTTGTTGCATTATTTTTAAGGTGTAATATACAAGGTGTGGATGTGTTATGATGTTAAATTTTAACTCAGTGCAAATAATGAGATAGGCATGTAGGTAACAGATGGTGGAATATATCTGCTGCACAAATTAAAACCTGCCTCTAGAATGGAACACTGGACTTACTTTGAAGGTTATTTCTACCTTGAGGACCAGGACAACATCCTGCTACAACTCTTCCCATAATTCCTGGAGGCAGGAGATAGGTCACTCCATCTCCAAGTGGAAAAGAGTACCCCACCATCTTCAGTTCAGAGACTTCCTCAGCTGTCCTGTTGCAGCACCCTCTGCATGAACGCTAATCAGCCAGGGGACAGAATCAATTTTGAAGTGTCTGATGAATATGGACACTGAAGTCCAGGTCACTACCTGGAAAGTGCCAGCCACTGATGCGTTGGTGTTGTGGCACAGGCACTCCTAGTTGAATGGACCAAGATCCCTTTTCTAGGCTTAATACTGAGAGATGCATGACAGAGAAATATACTCTTTGAACCAACTGCCAGGTACTGCTTTCAAAACCATTTCCCTCCTTAACTGCTGGGTGACAAGATATAAAAAGAGCACCCAATTTTCTGATGGTCGTAGCCTATCTAATGTAGATGAGGAATACCCTGTGGGAATCTAGGGAATGCCAGTTCCTTTCCTGAGGACCACATGGTTTGGAAGAAAAGTAAGAAAGATACGTAAAGATAATCTATTTTAGGAATGAAAATGAGATCAGTATGTAAAACCACCATGTCTTTATAAAAATTCACAACGCATTCCCAATAGAGAGAGTATTCATCATATATTACTGTAGCAACTAAGAAGAGAACCTTGGGAGTCAGATAGTTGAGGCAGACAGAGATCCTCCCCCCCCAAAAAAGGCGGCTGGAAGATGAAGCACCATGCTTCATGCCAGAAAGCTGTGAATCACCAGAGGCTGCATAAGTGTGATTCTTTCAGGAGGTGCTTCACAGCTGGATGTCTAGGAAAATCTTTAATGTGTGATAAAACAAGATGCTAATGCTGCTATTTGTCTGTGGAGGGAATTTGGTTGAAGGCTTTGATAACTGATGCTGAAAGAAAAGTGTGATTTGAGGGAAGCTCAGAGAGGCATTTATTTATTTATTAATTAAACAATATTTAAATATTTATATCCCACCTTTTCTCATGGCTCAAGGAGGCTTACAAGTCACAATCAAAATGTTTACAGCTGGGGCACGGGAGAAGGGGGAAATAACCAGACAACACTTTGATGGGGGGGTGTGAATAGGACAGCTTTTATTTTATTTATTAATTTGTTTTATTTATGTTATTTATAGACCGCCTTTCTCACAGGGACTCAAGACAGATTACATATAGTGGTTGGTACGGTCAACAAAATGGAATATTAAATGACCAATGCATTAGGATTGTAGAAATCAGGAACCACCAGAAGGAAAACAGGGCTGCCCTTACCTGTAACCCTCTTCCGAGTCCTCTTCTTTTTTTTTTTAATAAATATAACTTTTATTCAAAAAATTATTAACAATACAATCATTAAATGGTCGGTTGCATTTGTCCTTTAAAAAAAGGAATACATAGAGTGCATATATCAATAGCAAGAAATGAATGATTTAGTACTTTAGTTGATATAATTCTATTTCTAAAAACTAATAACTATAAACAAACGTCATTCAATAACAATAAACCAGTTCAACCCTAAAGTTCGACCCTTATAGCATGAATAAGTTCCACAATCATTCAATAGTGTTCAAAATAAAGCTATTATATCTTTATATTTTGCAGGAACATTTGGGAACGAGGTACCTCTGTTTGCAAGAGCATGTTCAAGAAAATCAACCCATTTTGAATAAAATAGAGCTTGTTGTTTATAGCTAGTATTAGTTGGTAGTGATGTTGAAATTTTTTCCAGGGTATAATATTCCCAGATCATGTTATACCATTGATTCAGAGTTAGTGAATTTGTACTTTTCCAGTTATTTGTTATAACTGATTTAGCTGCCATTAGAAGCGTGGAGAGGAAATCCTTGGTCTTACTAGGTAACGTTATTCCTTGCCAGTTATCCAATAGCATAACTTCAGGTAGGAATGGTAAGTCAATTTTGTTGGAATTCGAAACCAGTTTCCAGAATTCTCTGCTGTCTTTTGCGTTGGCGGCTTTAATCAAGGCCTGCCATTTGTTTTGAGAGTCAGCTAACTTTTTGGCTCTCAAAATTGCCTTATATTCTTTTTTCTTCTTTTGAATTTGGGTCTTTGACCGTAATAAATAATGATGATGGTAAGTCAATTTTTGTTATGTCCTTAATCGCGTGTTTTATGTTCATCCAAAAAGTCCTAATTGTCTTGTAGGTCCACCAGCAGTGCATATAGTTGGCGGTTTCTGCACATCCTCGTTCGAGTGCTCTTCTGTGCAGGCACACAAGTCCCACATGGGGGCTGCGCTTCCACAAGCTGGCCACAGAGAGGCGCTAGCAAGCTGTATCAAGAAGTTTCTAGAGTCCCAGGAGTGTTCCCCCCTCCCTTCAATTTGCCTCATATAGTTTCCCGCCCAAACGCTCGTGTGACCTTGGGGGAGTATTGACATGACCCATTAAGCGGCATTATTAAGTGGAATAGTTATTTATAATTTTCATTCACGCAGTTGCAGAAGCACTTGCACAGCACAGGGCATGGATCCAAGCATCAGGCAACCTGCCTGTCAGCCAATGGCACCAACCAATCCTCCAGCCTGACCGCTGGGGGGAGCAATATGGGATGGCAAGTCTAGGGGTCCCACATATGCACAAACCACTGTTTTGCTTCCCTTCAATTTGCCTCATATAGTTTCCCGCCCAAACGCCCATGTGACCTTGGGGGAGTATTGACATGACACATGAAGCGGCATTATTAAGTGGTATATTTATTTATAATTTTCATTCACACAGTTGCAGAAGCACTTGCACAGCACAGGGCATGGATCCAAGCATCAGGCAACCTGCCTGTCAGCCAATGGCACCAACCAATCCTCCAGCCTGACCGCTGGGGGGAGCAATATGGGATGGCAAGTCTAGGGGTCCCACATATGCACAAACCACTGTTTTGCTTTATTTATTTTTATTTAATTCATTTATACCCCATATTTTATTTATTTATCATGTCACATCCCACCCTTCCCACGAGTGGGCTCAGGGCGGCTCGCAACAACAGATTGAATGCAATCTTAAAATAAGTCAAATAGACAATAAAGAATAATATTAAATCAATACAATAAAACCAATTTCAAACATTTAAAGTGGGCAGTGCAATATATTCAGTTCCAGTTCCCAGAGCCAGGAAAGGAGTGGGCCGGTGCTGAGCCATGGTGGTCTCATACAGCAGCAATAATAATACTAGGGAGGCCAGCTAGTAGATGCCCGCTGCCTCAATCAAAGGCCTGGTGGGACAGCTCCGTTTTGCAGGCCCTGCGAAACTGTAACAGGTCTCATAGGGCCCTGATCTCAATCGGAAGCATGTTCCACCAGACTGGGGCCGGGGCTGAGAAAGCCCTGGGCCTGGTTGATGCTAGGCGGGCATCTTTCAGGCCGGGGACAACCAGGAGATGGCTATCCGCACAGGACAAAGCTCTTTGGAGCAGTCCCATAGCTATGTCAGTCCCAAGCCCCACAAGGTTTAAAGGTCAACACCAGCACCTTGAAACTTATCTGGTACTCGATTGGTAGCCAGTGCAATTCGCGGAGCACTGGCTGGATGCATGCCCACATAGAAATCGCAGTCAGCAGGTGCGCCACCACATTTTGCACCAGCTGGAGTTTCCAGATCAGCCTCAAGGGTAAGCCCACATAGAGCGAGTTACAGTAATCAAGCCTGGAAGTGACCATTGCATGGGTTACTGTAGCCAAGTCTCAGGGGGAGAGGTAGGGAGCCAGCTGCCTGATCTGCTGAAGATGATAAAAGGCAAAACTGGTGACTGTGGCAACTTGGGCCTCCAAATAAATTGAGGCTTCCAAGGTCACCCCTAGGCTCCTTACCTTCTGGGCTAGCATCAGTGGCACCCTGTCCAGGGTAGGGAGGCTAATCCACTCCCCCCAGCTCAGGTACAGAACCTCTGTCTTCGTAGGCTTTAACTTCAGCCGAATCGGCTGTAACCACCCAGCCACGGCCCCTAAAGCCCTGTCCAAGCTCTCAGGGGTGGAGTCTGGGCGGCCGTCTAACAACAGATAGAACTGGGTGTCATCAGCATACTGGTGGCAACCCAGCCCAACCCCCTGGACCAGCTGGCTGAGATGGCACATGCAGATGATAAACAACATTGGCGAGAGGATCGCCCCCTGCATCATTCTAGTGGGTGTTGCGGGGAGACCCTCTGACCTAGCTCCACCCTCTGTTTTGATCTGAATGTCATCCAAGGTATCTCTAGATAGCTTTTTCCCAAAGAAAGGCCAGGATGACTGACTAGATCAAGATAGAAAATCTGTGGTCCAATTCTTTAGCCACAAGTTTCTGCGTGCCACCATGATTGAGTCCATAGCCTGTGGCCAGGCACTCAGATATATCCCCAGGCTCCATACTCACTCTTTCAGGAGTAGAGCTATCCCATCTAGAAGAGGTCTAGCACCTTTCCCCCATCTTCCCAAACCACAGTACTTCTGTTTTGTTTGGATTCTGTTTCAATTTGTTCATC